ACTTCAAGTGATTTTTAATTAAAAATTTTAAATAATTAAATTTCAGGAGAGTTATAATTGAAATTATTAAATTTCAAAAATTTTTAGAAATAATTAAATTTTTGAAAATAATTGAATTTCAAAAGAATGTGTTAAATTTTAGACAATAATTATAATAAGAGAAATTTCTAGTGATTTCTGTTGAAGAATTTATTAGAAATTATTTTTGAAAAATATTATAAAAATCATTAAAATGTAATTGAAATTTTTACAAATAATTAAATTTCCAATGATTTTGAATTAAAAAATTTTTGTAATTTTATTTTCTAATTTTTTAAAAATTATAAATTATTATTAAATTTTATAAAAATTTTAATTCAAAAATAGTTTGAGATAATTGAATTTGTGAAGAATTATTTCATTAAAATTATTAAAAATAATTAATTTAGTAAAGAATTTTAGTTAAAAATTTGTTAAATAATTGAAATAAAGAAGATCTGCATTGCATACTAAAGAAAACGTATTTTGTTTAAAAATTTTGTAAAAAAATGTAAAAAAAAGTCGAGAATGTCTCATTTTATCAAAATATGTCAAAAAAGTCGTATAATCCAAGCTGGATTTATTTCAATAAAATAAAATTAAAAAATAATTTTTGAAAATTTACCTGATGTTAAAAAGTTGAATTTTTTTTTACAAAATGAAAAATACAAGAAAAATTTTCAGCTGTGATTAATATACAAAATAATGTCAATGAAATTGTAAATATCTTCAAAAATCCTTCTTCTTCTTCTTCTTCTTTTCATTTTAAAAAGAAAAATTTCCTAAAGATTCGAATATTATTTTTACATCTTTTCTTTATAGACTTTTATTAATTCAAGGGTAAAAGTCAAGTTGAATAAAAAAAAGTCCATTTGATTATTATATTAAAATCAGTGCAATAAATCAGGAAATGAATTTATATAGGTTACTCCTCTGAATAAATTGTTAACTTTTTTCTATTTTTCTCCAACCTCCAACTCTGTCGTCCAATCGGTTGTAAGTCCAATCAGCATACAACCTGGAGGCCCGTTCATATTCTCATATTAACATCTGGTGAAACCTATTGCTTGCTTGCATCAGCCAAGGACCCAACCTCTTTTCGCATCATAAATACCATATATATACAAACAAGGTATGCGGGACCGGTAGATGATGCAAAATATCTCAATGATTACCTTTTATCATCAATATTAAAATTCGTTTGTTTCTTGTATATGAATACATATATAGAAAATTGTGTATTTCAATTAAACGTAAAATAAATGCACTTCCTTGTCTTTGCATTCGTGGGATTGCAATCATTTTATATATTTACATCAGAAAATTCTTAATGATTTATGCGCTACTTTGTATATTATAATTGAGTTTTCATCATAAATCATCCCTCGGCGATTGGTTTACGATTATGGTCATATTTAGATATATTTCAATTGTATCTTTTCAGGAGCAAACTATAAAAAAAAAAAAAAAATGAAAAATGTAAATTAATAAAATAAAAGGGGAAAGTAAATTGAAAAATATTTCAAATATCTTTCCAGGATCAAATAGAGCGGGAGAGAACACTTGAACATCAATTTTCAATTTTGGACAATTTTGGTTAACATAAAAAAAAAAATTTATGATCTTTTTCAAGTTTCTTAACTCTTTTAGGACCAGTGTTGCTTTCAAAACAAATCGGATTTATTTTGCCAACTCATGAATAAGATCCTAAATTTTTAAAACTTGCAATTAAAAAATTAGACCAATTTTTTTCATTTGGTTTAATAATTTTCCAATTCCAAACTTTGGTTTTTTGACAGAAAACCATAATTATTTTCGTTGAAAAACTTTTTTAAAAATCAAAAATCGTGATTTTTTGAGAAAAAATTTTTAAATTTTTCAAAACGCTTTTTAGGAAAACTATAATTAATAATTTTTTTTGTGCTAAAACAAGAATTTAGTGTTGGAAAAAATATTTAGATTTAATTATCAAAAACTTGTTCATATTGCCTGAAAATAATACAAAAGGATTAATCCTCCGAAGTTAAAACCATTTAGGCAAATTAAAACATTTTTGTAATAATTTAAAAATGATAAAAAAAAATTTTAGTACATTTCAAAAAATGTAATTAAAAAAAACTTCGAAAGCTAAACTATTATATTTTAATTAAAGTCGTTGCAGTCTAAATTTTAAAAAATTGATACTTTCGGAACTGATTTTGTATAAGTAATATTTTTAGGGAACGAAATTTCTTTTAATATACGAGTTTTAAGTAAAGGAGGTACAGAAAACTGTTTTTTTTTTTGCAATTAGAAAATATATAAAAAAAAAACAAAGAATAATACTTAAAAGTGTAAAAATAATTATTTATTTTTTTGTTTAGAATTAATTAATTTTTTTTTTAATTGCCTTTGAAATTCAATATTTCCGTTAAGGAAAAATAACAAATTTGGTACTTTCTTTTTTCTTATTTATTTTCTAATTGCGGAAAATTGAGAGTTTTCTTTACTTCCTCCAATTTAAACTCATATTTTAAGGAAAATAATAAAAGTTGTAACGTCATTCTTTTTATTTCGATTTTTACCCTAAAAACAGAATTTTTATAATAATTTTATGTTTATGTTAATTAATATTTTTTACGAGATCTACTAAAGAATAATTATCGAAGTCATTTTCAAAAAAAATTATTCTCATGACAATATGTTTCGACTTCGTTTCAAAATTTTTTGAAGTTTAACAAAACTTGTAGAAAAAATTTTAAAAAAATTTTTTTTTATACCTAGTTGTAGAAAAATTTTTTTTGAAGATTTTATAAAGGTTAAAAGTAGAAAAATCTACAATTTTTTTTTCAAGTTGTAGAAAAAATCTATTTGAAAAAATCAAAAAAAGTTGAAAAAAATTTTTAAGAAAATAAAAAAATTGGCAAAAAAAAAAGTTTTTTTCATTTTAGGAAAATATCAATTTTTTAAAAATTAAGTTGCAACGACTTTATTCGAAATATAAAATGGTAAGACCCAAAAATGTATCTAATAATTTCGAATTCAGATTTTAGAATTTAGATTTAGATAAAAATATTTTAAATACTTTTGATAAATAATATATGTAGAAATTTAATTATTAAATTTCTAAAGTATAAAATTTTTGAAAACGTGATGAATACATTTAAAGCATCCATTGACCGCTTATGATAATTTAATTGCATTTTCTTCACCTTAAGACATCTTTGTAATACATGCGCGCGACATAATGAGAATAAAACAGGTTTATCATTTTTCAATCCTTTTTTTTTTTTGTTTTTAATTTTTATTAGTGAACTTGTTATCCACGTAATTGTTAAGAAGAATTGCATCAACTTTCCAACAATAATCAAGGTCATGTAGGTAAGATTATTGCGAAATTCAATTCATTATTGCAAAGTGTCAACGTAATTTATTATTAATTTATAAAATATAATAGTGCATCATTCTATGTCATAATTTCTCAAGCTAACGGTTCTTGTATAAGTTTGTTTTTATAAATGAAAAAATTATACATAAATTAATATAGTGCAAAATATAATTAATGTAATATTAGAATTAGAATAAATTTCTTTTGTCGATATCGCTTAATTTTTTTTAATTATTTAATAATAAACAGGACAAATTATTGTTATACTTTGTTGATTAAAAGAAGGGAATTTAACAGATATTGATTCGACTTATAATTGAAATTTTTAATTATTGTTAATGCGATATCAAAACTTTTTGATTCACGAATCATTAAAATTTTAACCTCGGTTAATGAAACCGGCAGTTATACAGACAGATATAAAAATATATCAATCAAAAATGTAAAAAAATTTGAATCTCATGACCTTTTACTTTAGTCTTGAAAATTAATTATTTCTTTTTATTTTAAGAATGAATGAATTAGCAATATTTGCAACAAAGTATCAAAATTACGTGATCTCGTAAAACTGGTATACTTTTAATCAACTTACAATGTAGATTTAAATTTTTTTTTTAAATTCTTTGCCAAGTTGTATATTTTATAATAGAAAAACGAGATTTTGCATTGGGCAACCACATGAATGTTGATTTTCACATAAATTGAAAATGTACTAACTAATTTTTACAATAAATCAGAAAATTGAAATAATTATTAAAACATTATTTTTAATAATCAAAATAAAATGATAATTAAAATTAAAAAATAAAAATTCTTTTTCAAAAGTTACCTGGAAGTATATAATTTTTCAAATCATGTGGAAGTACGTAGAACTTGTTAATGAAAAAGAAAAAAAAAAAAAACGTTTATCAGACATTCATTATGAATTTCAATTCTTGTATCTTTTTTTGATCATTGCATAAATGATTGTCGTCTGCGAATGTCTCATCACGTTTTCCAGTTGACCTCCATAACCTTGTTTACATTTTTATCCACTTTTAGAACCTCATGAAATTTCATCATGTATTAACTAATATTTCAAAATTAAAAAAAATTTCTGTAATTTCTATAAATTAAATAATTTTAAATATTTTCAAATCAAAGTTAAAAAAAAATAATATTCATATAAATGAAAATCTGATTAATTTCATTTAAAAATAAAAAAAATTGATAATTTCTAAACAAACATTCCTCGAATTATTTCTAATAGTAATAAATTTATTATAATTTATTTAATAAACATTTCGGTAATAAAAATATACTTACAATAGCGATCTATACTATATTACATTAACAATAGTCCAAAAATAGTTCTGTTCCACAATCCGATCTATAAAAAATCTTTCAAAAATGCATCAACAAATATAGTTGATATAGTCACACCTTCTATAAAAGTCAAAATAAAGGTGTTTTTCTTCTATTTCTGAATTAAAGTAGCGTATACGATCACAAAGTTCTCGATACAACTTTTGTATAGAAAATCTCTTTGAAAAATAGCACGATAATCTGAAGGCCACGTTAATATAAGTTTTTTTTTTTTTTTTTTAAATTCACTTGAATAGTTAGTTTCTATTGATTTTATTTTTTTTTTGGAAGAAAGTCTTTTCTCTTTATTGAGAATGGAACTTTTTCGTGGAGTCAGAAGCCATATCATAGAGCAATTGACATGGTTTAAAGCTTTCGCCATAAGAATTTTGGAATTCTTCCATTCTTTTAACTAGTCTACCTGCTCCGTAATAGTCAACCCATCGGAAAGGTCCACCTGTAAATGGAGGGAAACCAAGTCCAAATACAGCACCAACGTCTCCTTCGAGCTGTGAAAATATAAAAATTTACTAAATACCTTATATCTAATTATTTATTGACAAATAAATAATACCAAATACATTTGCAGGCTTCGAAGCGTAGTAAGAGACTAAGAAAAATATGAAAAAGTATCATTTAAAAATAAAAAGTATCTCCAAAATTGAAAAAAAAAGTATCATAAAAGTGTCATCTTTAGAAAGAAGTAAAATTAGTTTTTTTTTTAAGTTTGACGTTAAAGTGTAAATATTTTCTTGTCTAAAAAAGAAAAAATCTGAGGAATAAAATTAACATAATTTTTCTTTTGATTATTTAAAAAAAAAAACTTTCTATTGTTGAATTTCGATTAACTTTTTGTTTTTGGCACAACGGTAGAAGCGTACGATTATTCCATAAAAATTATTTTTCACATAAATTTTTATTATTTTACAAAATAGCATTTAACACAGAATTTTTTTTAAACAAATTTTTACTCAACGGAATTTTCAAAGTACTGACTTTTTATTTGACAGAATTTTTATTTTACAAAATTTCTCTTTATCCAACTGTTTCTTAAAAACAATTCTAATTTAATCTATTTTTAATTTATTAGAATTCTCATTCAGTAGAATTTTTTAGCCTTTAGGTAATTCGAATTTTTAAATCCTAGAACTTGGAATCGGAAGCTTTTATAAAATATTTAGTATTTTAAAACAACAATTTTAAATAAAAATCTCAAAAAAATTCAATTCTTTCTAAAAATCTTAACTCGAACTCTTCCAAAATTCAATTTCATTTCTAAAATTTGTATCTAAAATTCTTTGCTAAATTAATAATTTCAATAAATTTCATCCAATTATTTAAAAAATTTAATTAAATAAAACATTTTTTATTTAAAAATTCTGTAAAATTCAATTACTGTTTGAAACTTTGTTAATAATTTTTAGCAATTCTAATTTACTAAAATTTTAATTCAAAATCTCTTAAAATTCGATTATTATTAAAAATTTTGATTCAAATTTTTTGGTGAAATAATTATTTCTAATAACTTTAATCAAGATTTTGGCATTTCAATTATTAAAAACATTTTTCTATTAAAAATACTCTAAAATTCAATTATTGTCTGAATTTCGGTTAAATCAGAATTATTAAAAAAAAAAAAAAAACAGTTGGGTAAAGAGAAATTTTGTAAAATAAAAATTCTGTCAAAAAAAATTTTGTCAAATTAAAAATTCTATTGAATAAAAGATCGTTTAAAAAGAAATTATGTTAAATGCTGTTTTGAAAAATGAAAATTTGTGTAAAAAATAATTATATAAAGCAGTTGTTCACGCGGTCAATAATAAATCATCAACTTGGCGAGCTTTTAGAAATCAAAAAAATGCGCTAAAATTTAAAAATCTTGAATTCTGTCATTTTTAAAATTATTTTTTGAAAAAAGTAGCATTTAGTGTCTTCTGACCAAAATTAGTAGTAAAAAAGTAGCCTTGTTGAAAAAAAGTATAAAAAAAGTACAAAAAATATGTCACTTCGAAGCCTACCTAACTTGTGGCTACCCTGAAATTAGATTGTACATGGATAGAAATTTCTATACCACTTAATAATTGAAACAAAAATCGATTAACATTTTTTAAAAATATATTAAAATTTGATTCGATTGAATTTGAGATTGATTAAAATTCAAATAAACGAATATTCACATCGATTAAAAATTTGGATAAATTGAAATTTGATTAAACTAAAATTTGTATGTAAATTGAATTTCTAATGAATTGAAATTTCGATAAATATAATGAAATTTATAATCGATTGACATTATCACCGAGAACTAATTTTAATTTGAATTATTTAATTTTTTTAATTAATCAATTGCAATTTTGATAAATTTAACTCTAAATCCATTCAATTTCAAGTTGATTAAAATTAGAGTAAATTTAAATTCAAATTCTTTAAAATTATGGTAAATATAATGTTAAATAAATTAAAAAATTTTTAAAGTAAGAAAAAAATTAAGAAAATATGCGAAAGATAAGACAAATTAACGAAATAGATACAATAGATGAGACAAATTTAAAAAATTAAAATCCTGTAAAAATAGTAAACATTAAATAAAAAAAATGAAATTAAAAAAACGAAAAAATTAAATTACTATAAATAAAAATCAAACTAAAAAAAGGTAAAAAAAATTTTAAAGAGTTAAAAAATTGTAAATTGACTTTACCGGATTGGCCAAAATGTTTTCTTCTAAACAAAGTACAGCTTCATTGACAAATCTGCTGACCAGCCTCATTTGACGATCTTCATCGGAAGTGCTTCCTTTTGGATCGAGTTTATAGTTTTTCAAAATATCGAGTGCACCAAGATTGACATCTCTATTTTTTGAGTTTGCTTCGTACACGAAGAAACCCTTACCAGATTTACGTCCAAGGAAACCTTTTTTCACCATATCTTCAAGAATTCTCACATCACCGCCTGCGGATCTTGGGCCTAATGCTTTTCCAAGATCAACTCCAATATGAGCACCAACATCAATACCCACTTCGTCAGTGAGTGTTGCTAATCCTACTGGGAAGCCGAATTTTTTTGTGAGTTTATCTAATAAAACGGGATCGACACCTTCCTGAAAAATATCATTTTCTTCCATCAATATTATTATAAATATATTTTAACTAAAATTATTATTAAAATTTAATTTTTTTTCTTAAAATCTATTTCATTGGGAAATTTAGTGAAAATTTCAATACAGTCAACCTCGAATTTTTAGATATAACAAAAAAAATTTCATTTTGTTGTTATTATATGACTATATTTATTATCAAATCTCTAATTTTAACAATAACAACAAAATTTTATTTATTTTATTTTTTATTGTGACTTTATATATTTATTGTTATTATTCTAATGTTTTGTTTGTTTTGTTTTAATGGCCTCTTGTAATTATTATTCTAATATTAAATAAGGCAAATAAAACGAAAACATTCGGAAAACATTTGTCCGAATGTTTTCGTTTTATTTGCCTTATTTAATAAAAAATCTCGGACGTTAAAGATTAATTTCTCAATTATTCTAATAAAATATTGAATTCTCTAACCTGAAGCAGTCTGATTCCTTCAGTTGACATGGCAGAGAGAATTCTGGTTGTATAAAAACCAGGACCATCTCCAACGGTGATGACAACTTTTCCTTGCTTCAATCCAACATCAACGGCAGTTTTAATCGTTTCGGTTGATGTGCCTTTGTGTGTAATAATTTCTAGTAATTGCATTTTGTCTACAGGTGAAAAATAATGCATGCCGATTACCTACAATAATTAATATTATTAATTTAATTTGTTAATTTAATTATTTTTCATCTTTTTCTAAACTATTGTTAATTATATTTAAAAGCTCAATTATTCGCTATTTAAAATAATTTTTTTTTTTTCTTAATCAGGGTTGCCACAGGTCAGGGAAATCATGGATTTTTATTAAAAACACTAAAAAAATATCAAAAAACTTAATTTGTTAAAAAAAATTCCAACTTTTGAAAAAAAAAATAGAGAAATTTAATAAAAAAATTTCCATGATTTAAATAAAAAAAAAGTGTTTTTTCAGGGAAGAAGGCAAATTTTTTTCTTCTGAAAATCAGAGAAAAATAAATTAAATTTTTGTAACAACCCTGTCAATCGTTATTAGAGAAATCTTTTATACTATAAAAATAATATTAAACCTTATCAGGTCGGCTGCTTCCAGCTGCGACCTTCGTAATTGGAATCGCAGATGTATTTGTAGCTACAACACAATAGTCCGGTGTGTTAGCTTCAATTTCCTTAATTACTTTATGTTTAATGTTAATATCTTCGAAGACAGCTTCAATAACTATTTCAGCCTTTTGAAAATGATCGTAATTTAATGTAGTATCCAATTTTGCGAGGAATCTATCTTTTTCGAGACTATAATCAAAATTTGTTACTATTAAGAGAATTCTCCATTATATTTAATTAAAATTAATAAAAATTGAAATTAAAAATTAGAACAAAAATTCATTTAAAAAATTTTTAAAAATTAATATCTTAAAGAAACAAATTATTAACTACAATATTCAAGTGTTCAGTAATAAAATGTTTTTAAAAAATTTTTAAGTTCAAAATTCAAAATACCTGGACAGGCGTTTTCGTTTTACAGCTGTTTCCAAACCTTTTTGTATTTGACCAATACCTCTATTTAAACCAGCTTGATTTGTGTCTTTCAAAATGACATCATATCCTTTATCAATACTGACTTGAACGATTCCTGCTCCCATTAATCCGGCACCAACTACAGCCACAGTTCTGTAAGAAAATAATTTCAATAAAGTGAATTCAAAAATTTTTAATTTTCAACTATTTTGAAGAAAAAATAGTTTATGAATATGATAAATGAATTTAAAAATATTCGGGTTTTTAATAAATTTCGGACAATACTGATAGTAGGACACTTTTATGTTTTTTGGCTAATAAATAATAAAAATAATAACTCATTATCATAATTACCGTTATAATTTATTAATAAGATTTTCATAATAACAAACATTTTATTTTATTTTTCCCTGATTTTCAGTCAAAATTTAAATTTCTTCCCTGATCCTAATGAAAATATTTCAAGAGGTTTTCAATTATAAAAAAATTAAGACAATAATTTTTAGAAGCTTCAAAAAGAAAGAGAACATGTTTAAAAGTTATAAACAATTTTTATTTTTTAAACAAATTGTTTAAAAAGTAATATTTAAAAAAAAAAATTTTTTATCTAAAAGTTTAAGGTCTTCTGCGTAAAAAAACATTCTTTACATTTTTCTCTATTTTTAGTAGGGAAAAAGTTATAAGTAATGCAAAATAATATTGCTCAAATTTGTTATTGTAAATATCCTCAAAAAAAAAAATTTCAAATTCAAAATTTGTACACTTATTTTGCACCACTATCACTACAATTTACCAAATTTTGAGAAAAAATCCGAAACATGACCCCGTCTTTTCATATAAAATACCTCATATATTTCAGTTTTATAATTATAAAAAAAAAACTTACTTGACAGCACTTTTGGGTGTTCCAAATCTATTCTTCTTACAGGCAGTCTGACCGAAAAAAAGACTAACGAGTCCTCTACTCTCTTTAGTAACTGCCAAATGACCAAAAGCTTTTGCCTCAGCCTCATAACCAACAATTGGACCCTTATCCAAACCAGTGCGAATAACTTCCAAAATTTTCAATGGAGCCGGATACAAACCACCAGTAAGTTTCATGACTTGTGCTTTGGCTTTTTTGAAAACTTGATCTTTAACAAATTCAAATGACAAGGCGTAATTCATAACTTTTTCACCCAATGACTTTGGACCACGATTCACTTTCAAATTTCCACTAGCAATATCTTTTGCCACCTTAATGGCAGTTTCTTCCAAATATCTTCTTGTGCTAAAAGAAAATATAGTCGTTTAAAAATTATGAAAATCTAGTAGTTAAATGTAAAAATAAGTGAAATTATTTACTTTTCTTCAGGTGGAGCTAGTCCAGGTCCCAATTCATCTACAAGAAGATCGACAACACCAAATTTTTTAGCTCTATCTGCTTTAAGCGTTTTTCCAGTTAGTGTCATGTCCAATGCATTTGGCAGAGAAACTAATTTAGGAAGTCTCTGTGTTCCACCTCCTCCAGGTAAAATCCCTAACATTACTTCTGGTAATCCTAAACTTGTTTTTTTATCTTTCACTGCAACTCGATAGTGACACGCTAACGCGAGCTGAAAAAAAAACATTGTGTATTCGAATATTATTATCAATAAATTATTGATAATTAAATTATTATTTAATTATTTATTATCGTTATTAATAACGTTTTCCCTGACTTTTGCAGGTTTTTCAGGGAAAAAAACGATATTTTTCCATGTTATTTATAAAAACTTTTTTTCTTAAAACAGGGAAGAAAAAAAAACAATTTTTATTTTGTCTCTAAATTTTAATAACACGATGTTATTTTTTCAATTTTAGCATTTGGGTCCTAAAAACGTAAAAGTTAGTAAAAAAAAAAAGGAAATTTTAATTTTTTTACCATTTTAGAGTAGTTTTGAAAAAAGTTAAGATTTTTTTAAAGTGGAACTACTTTTCCAATTTTGACTATTTTTCATAGCAAATTTTTTTACAAAATTTCATAATCTTTTTTTTTAGAATCTCTCGTATATAGATTTTCAAAAATTATAATTTTAAAAAAAGAAAGTAAAAAATAAATTGAATTTTCATTAATCTTTTCTCTTAAATATTGAACTACTTTTACAAATGTAACTATTTTTTATCGACAATTTTTTTTTATTTTTTAATGATTCTTTAGAATCTCTCGTACGGATTTTCAAAAATTTGTATTTTTTTAAAAAATACAAATTCTAAAATGGAAAATTAAAAAAAATTTTTTTTTTTTTTTTGACGACCTTGTATGTTTTTAAGATCCAAATGATGCATTGATTTGTTTTTTTCTACGACAGGCCATTTTGTTAAAACTTTAAATTCTTATTTAGATATTTTAGATTAAGTATTTTTTTTGTGATACATTTTTGTAGTTGCCCTTTTAAGGTCGTATTGGACTGCGGGCTTAATTGTAAAATAAATAAATAAAAAAAATGGAATATCTAGTCTAGCATTTAAATTATAGGAATCGATTCAAAAAAGTGCAAAAATTCATAAATTTCTCTAAATTCAATAAAAGTTATTAAATAATTTTTTTAAAATTATTTTTCTCTAGAGTACTAAATAAACAGTTTGCAAAAAAATATGTTATACTTGCATTTACAATTAAAATAATAGTTCGTTCTGTAATTGCCCTAAATTCGAGGCAATTATATAACATCATTTAAGTTTAAATAGCTCCGTCAAAAAATTTTTTTTGCTTAATGAAACTTGGAGGAAATCTTCAAAAAAATGTTGACAATATTTATTTGAATAGTTCAAAAATCTTTTTTCAACAATTTAGATTTTTGATGAAGAAAAAAATGAAAAAAATCACGTTTTTTGTTCTATAATTTTTAATAAAATAATAAAAATATTATAATACTAATAATATGTAAATTTTTTATATATTTACATTAGTGGGACAAATTTTTAAAAAGAAATTATAACAACAATTCAATTTTAGAGTTTTTATTAGAAATTTTTTTAAATAATTGAATTTTTAAAGAAATATTAAAATTATTAAAAATAATTTAAAACTTTTGAAGAATGAAAGTTGAAATTCTTAGAAATAATTAAATTTCAAAAGATTTTGTTAAATTTCAGACGATAATTAAATTTCATATAATTGAAAATAATTTATCAAATAATTTTAGATAACATTTTTTAAAGCCTAATTGAATTTTCAAAGATTTACCATTCAGATTTTTGAAATTAATTGAACTTAAAAGTGATTTTTAATTGAAATTTTTAGTGATTTCTGTTGATAAAGAATTTATAGAAATTACAGACAAAAATTGAATTTCAAAAGTTATTAATTTAAAAATGTTTTCAAATAATTGATTTTTTAAAAAATATTTTTAAAATCATTAAATTTTGGAAGAGTTACTGTTGACATTTTTAGAAATAATAAATAATTAAATTTTAGAAGGTTTTAAATTGAAATTTTTGAAAATAATTGAATTCAAGTGATTTTGAATTGAAATTTTTTGATGATTTCTGTTTCTGAAGAATTTATTAAAAATTAGAGACAAAAATTGAACTTTAAAATTTTCTTATTGAAAAATGCTTTCAGATAATTGAATTTTCGAAGAATATTATAAAAATAATTGAATTTCGGAAGAGTTAAAATTGAAATTATTAAATTTCAAAAAATTTTAGATGAAAAATTTTAAAAATAATTAAATTTTAAAAGGTTTTAAATTGAAATTTTCAGTTATTTTATTTGATTTATTTTAATTGTAAACAATTGTTGAATTTTATAAAATTTTTAATTGAAAAATAATTTTAGATAATTGAATTTGTCAAGAATTTCATTAAAATTATTAAAAATAATGAATGTAGAGAAAAAATTTTAATTAAAAATTTGTTATGTAAATAATTGAAATAAAGAAGATCTACATTGTATTCTAAAAAAGACATATTTTGTTTAAAAATTTTGTAAAAGGATTTTAAAAAATGTCGAAAAAAGTCAGAAAAAATCGTATAATCTGAGACCTGGTTTTGTTGGAACTTTATAAATTCTGACTGTCTCCAGGATGATTTTTTTAAAATTAAAGATGAAATAATAAGGAATATTGTAAAAAAAAAATTTTAAATAAGTGGAAATTAAAAAAACTAAATGAAAATGTTGTCCATACTTTTTTATGCCTACGAAATCTATTTTTAATTTCCTTTTTCTAATTTTATGAAAATACCTAATTTTTTGAAATAATACGCTTTTGATTCATCAAAATCGATTAAAAATTAATCGAGATATAAAAAAATGAAAAAAAATACAAAGTCAAAATTCTACGAAGCTGAAGTACGCAACGTTTATGATAAACAATTTTTAAAGAAATAATTTTATAATTTTTTGCCTAAAAAATATTTCTTGTAGTTTTCATTAATCAACAAATTATAAAAAAAATATTTTTTAGGTAAAAAATTATAGAATTTTTCATTTTAAAAAATTATTTCTTTAAAAATCGTTTATCATAAACGTTGCGTACTTCAGCTCCGTAAATTCTCATATTAAACTATAATTTCACCAAGTTTCATTAAAATCGAAGAACTACTTGCAAATTGTGATATTCTAAACCTTAACAATAATAATTTAATAACAATTAAATATTTTAAAAAATATATACCTCTAGACCGCCACCTAAACAAGAGCCTTGAATTGCTGCAACCACTGGTTTCTTACTATTAGCAATATCATCAAGAACTCGGTGACAATCTTTCGAAATTTTATAACCATCATCTTCAGTTTTAAATTTATTAATCATAGAAATATCAGCACCTGCAATAAAACATCCAGGTTTTCCACTAATAAGTACCACAGAACTTACTGAGGAATTATTTTCAATTGTCCTTAAAACTTCCACAAATTCATCCATCACTGCACGGTTCAAGGAATTAACCTGTAAAAAAAAATAAAATTTAATTAGAAAAGAATACAAAAAAAAAAAAATCAATAATATAAAATTACTTTACATAAAGAATTGTTTCTTTAAAATTAAAATTTTCATACCTTAACCTGAGGGGAATCTAATGTAACAACTGCTACATTGTCGACAATTTTTGTTTTAAAATGTTTTTCTCCAGCTGTAGCCAGCGATCTAATTGGTTGCTGTTGAGCTAAAAAAAACAAATAAAAATTGACAAAAAAATATATAAATAATCCACAAAATAATAACTTTAAAAATTTTCAATTTTCTACTTTATGCTTTCATACTTTTCTTTTATAGTTTTATATTTTTTATTCTCACTTGTTTTTGTTTCATTGTTGCCGACTAGAAATTTCGATATACAACAATGATGGTGCGATTTTTTTTTTTTTTTTTTTTAATATAAAAATTGGAAATCAAAATTCATGACAAACAAAATAATCGTATAAATAAATCAGGATTTCTTAATTGCAATTGGGAATCTACATGTATAAAACCTAGGTGCAAAGGTTACTTTGACCAAATGAAAATGGGGAGTGAAATTTTCAAGAAGGATTCACAAATATTTACAAAAAAAAATAATAATTACCTGATCGAGTAATGAAATGAACGTTGGTTCGCGAAAATCGCGAAAGTGCACCAAATATTCTACAGCTAGCCATTATTTTTATTAATTTTATTCTATTATAATTCTATATAACCTCGCCAGCAGAATCTTATATGCAACCATATGCAACACACATTCAACAATACACACAGATAGAAAACTTTCGTCACTAATACATAACAACTATAATGATCAATTGCGCATGTGCGATTTAACTAATGTGATTGAAACTTGAAATTCTGAATTTTTGATTCAATCACATGTTTCTTTAAAAATTAAGCTCCAATCATATAAACTTATTTATTCCATAAACATTTTTAAAGAACTTAAAAAAAAAAATGAAAAAAAACTCAATTTACACGAATACGATTGGCTGATTAGTCTTATGCACATAACCGGCCGGTGAAACATAACCTAACTTTTAATGGACTTTGACCTCTTTTCATTTATCTGTGCTAATTTCTTAAAAATTTTATTAATAGTTTTTATTAGTGTTAATCGTTCGCATTGATACTTCGTTACATAACTTTTAATTTGAGTCCATTAAAAAATATCTTAAGATCCTATAATCTATAATATACTCCTATATTCCTCTTTGCTATAACTAATTAATCAATTAAAATTTCGCGAATAGTTTTGAAAAAATTAAATAAATTTTTGAAAAATTAATAATTTGAAACACAGTTTTAAAAAAATGACGTCAGCTGTGACGACTATGACGTATTTTTATCGTCACTCGAAGAATAGTATATCGATAGATCGACTTATTTTTCGATATTTCTGCTCCCTCTGACGGAAAACAGTAGAAACATCTTTTTTGTATAAAAATCCCACACGCCGGCATTGGAGCATTTACTCCGAAAAAAACATTTTTATCTGTTTGTTTAATTTTTTAAAAATCCTGACAAACTGTTCTTATCAGTTTTATAATCTTCAGTTTAAGCTCATTGATATATAGAGAATCTCATCAATTCAACAACATGCCTGAATATAAAGTTGGTAAGTTAAAATTGACACTTTTTTTTCTATACTTGAATAATATTAAATGCATCTCTAAACACGTGTTGCAGCAATTTAAATAAATTATTATCCTTGTAAATTAGCAAGGAAACTTTTCTTAGCATATGGATTTAATAGTTATTTATTTAATATATTTGATAAAATACCATTGTTGAAAAAGAATTTATTTTCTATATTTACGTCGCACTTATGATCACACTGATTATATTTATTACTACAATATTAATTAGAAGGTTTCGTATGAATAAAACAACAATGATCCGAATGTTATCGTTTTATTTATACGAAACCTTCTAATTAATATATTCGGACGTTAAACATTTTCAATACTACAATATAATTTACAAGCCTCGAACTGTACAATTTTTTCCAATTTATTTCAATAAAAGGCAATTTTTTCGATTTATTTTAAAAAATAAAATTAAAAATTAATTTATTAAATTACAGACAAAATACCTATGACTTTTTTTTTAATAAAAATTGCAACTCTTTCACAATTTAATTACATATTTTGAAAATTTGAATCTAAAAATAGTCTTAGCAAAATTAATTACTTTCAATAATTTTAATCAAATTCTTTGAAAATTAAATAATTTAAAATAAAATTTCAATTGAAAATTATCAAAAATTAAATTATTGCCTAAAAATCTTTTAAAAACGTCTTCAGCAATTCAAATTTACAAAATTTTCAATTAATTCTAAAAATATGGACTGTAGCTCTTTTGAAATTCAGTTATTTCAAATATTTTTTAATTTTTTAATAAATAAATAATTATTAAATTAAACATTTTTTTAATATTCAATTATTGTCTATAATTTGTAATAAAAATCTTCACCAATTAAATTTAAAAAATATATATATATTTAAAATATCTTAATATTCAGTTATTTCTAAAAATCTTAAATATTTAATTCTTCCAAAACTCAATTATTATTTTTAAAATTATCTAAAATTCTTTGACAAATTAATAATTTTTAATAATATTAATCAATTATTTCAATTTAAATAATTTTTTATCAAGTTCTTCTAAATTTCAATTATTAAAAATACGTTTCTGGTAAAAATTCTCCCATTTCACAGTGGCCGATTTCTCGAAAAACCTGGCCAAAAATCGAAAAATGATATGATTTCAACCAAAATTGGTATACCCATGTTTTTTGGGCTTCTCAATTCAAATTTTACATTGGTTGTGTCAAATTCAAAATGGCGGATCCAAAATGGCCGTTTAGATTTTAAAAAACTTTGCTGAAAATCGAAAAATGATACGATTTCAATCAAAATTGGTATATCCATGTTTTTTGGGCTTCTGAATTCAAATTTTACATTGGTTGTGTCAAATTCAAAATGGCGGATCCAAAATGGCCGTTTAGATTTTAAAAAACTTTGCTGAAAATCGAAAAATGATACGATTTCAATCAAAATTGGTATATCCATGTTTTTTGGGCTTCTGAATTCAAATTTTACATTGGTTGTGTCAAATTCAAAATGGCGGATCCAAAATGGCCGTTTAGATTTTAAAAAACTTTGCTGAAAAACGAAAAATGATACGATTTCAACCAAAATTGGTATACCCATGTTTTTTGGGCTTCTGAATTCAAATTTTACATTGGTTGTGTCAAATTCAAAATGGCGGATCTAAACTGGCCGTTTAGATTTTAAAAAATTTTGCTAAAAATTAAAAAATTGTACGATTTTAACCAAACTTAGTATACTTACGTTTACTAGGTTTCTGAAATCAAATTTTACATTTGTTTTATCAAATTCAATATGGCGGATCCAAAATATTTGCTGGTATTATAAAATTGCGTAAATGTGTTAGAGCTTATTTTTTTTAAATTACAGACAGTGCTTAAATTTTAGTTTAAAGCGAATGCGAATGAAGAAAAAGTCAGTCTTTCACGTTCAGTTGCACCGCCGGCCGGTGCAACGCGCTGTCGGTAAACCGCGCTTAGTGAAATAAAAAGTGATACCAAAACTGCAGGGGCAGCTTGGGGCAACTGATTTCAATTAAAATGAATTAAAAATATATTCTAGTTTATGATAATACCAGGTAGATCGCGGATATCGGTGGATTTCACAACTATTTTCATGATTTACGTTGATAAAACAATACAAAAATCGTCGCCATGAATAGCGATGTTTAATGTCATTTTTTAAAAACTGTACGTTTTAAATGTGATTATAAATACATTCAACATATTTCATACACCTTTGTTAATAATTCCCAAAAAAAGATATTCAAAAATCTGCTGTATATTAGTATATTTTCACTATTTTAACTGTGACGAAAATTTATAGTTATGAAACGTTCTGAGTAAATCTCTGGCAAAGATCACTTTTACTTGTTCACATAATAAATTGGTGATAAAAAAAGTATAATTTTTTTTCGCAAAATTATGCAGTGAACCCTGCTTTATAATATTCAACAATAAAAAGTATAAATTTCTAAAAAAAATTTTTTGACTTTTGGCCAGGTTTTTCGGGAAATCGGCCACTGTGCATTTCCCATAAAGTATTTTATTTTTAAAAAATGACTGAAAATTTATTGAAAAGTTCTGAACGTTCAAATGAATGAAATATTTTTTTCAATCTATAAATTATTAAAAATTCTGATGTCAATGTAAAATAAAACATTAAATTAAACAATTATTAAATTAATAACTTCTTTTTAAATATTTAAAACAATATTTTGTAATAAAAATTGTACTTAAAGAAGTTGCAAAAAAAATTTTGTTCATTTGAACGTTAAAAACTTTTGTCTCATAAAATTGAATATTTTTTTTTAAAAAAGTAACTTTCATATTTTTTTTTATAATTTTTTTGAAATTCTTGAAAATTTGCTCAATTTTGAAATATTTACGCCTTAAAGTCGATCCAAGGCATGAATTTATTCTATTAATATAATTATTTCAATGGAATTTTACTTGCAAGTAATTCTGTTTAAATTTAGAAATTATGTTATATAATTGTAATATCAAGGATTTTTTTTAATAACAGCTAACATTTCCTTATCCGAATGGGGACGAAAAGAAATAACTCTTGCTGAAAATGAAATGCCCGGATTAATGGCATTAAGGGCAAAATATGGAAAAGAAAAAATTTTAAAAGGAGCACGAATTGCTGGTTGTCTTCACATGACTGTACAAACTGCTGTTTTAATAGAGACATTAGTTGAACTTGGAGCAAAGGTAAAAATATTATATTTTTCTTTCAAATAAAAACGTTCAACGTAGCTGAAGTACGCAACGTTTATGATAAACGATTTTTGAAAAAAATAATTTTTTATAATGAAAAATTCTATAATTTTTTGCCTAAAAAATATTTTTTTATAATTTGTTAATTAATGAAAACTATAAGAAAAATTTTTTGGGCAAAAAATTATAGAATTTTTCATTTTAAAAAATTATTTCTTTAAAAATCGTTTATCATATAAACGTTGCGTACTTCAGCTTTGTATTTTTCACACAGAAAATAATAAATCAGCAAAATTTTTTTTTTTGTAAATTGTTAATCGAGAAGTGTTGCAAAAAAAATGTACAGTAAAAAAATTCAATTAAGAGCAAAATTTTCAATATGATACACTAAAATATAAATATATAAAATGAAAAACAAAATTTCAATGAAGTTTTTTTTTCTATTTCTTCTCTGCGGGAGTTTTAAAACCATAGAATTTTAAAATTCACTTTTCCTCACTCACTTTTTTTAAAGTGAAAATTTTAGCATTTCAATCTTATCTTCATTGATATTATTTTTCCATTCTTCATAATATTATCTTTTCCTTCATATTATAATGTCTTTTGTTGAAAGGTCATACAGATCAAGAATGACCAAAGAATAACACATATCTCCCAACTGTAGAAATGATAAAACACAATAATCGTCAATTATTTTTTGTCACTGATTTTTGTCGTCATAGACAAATAATAGATAAAAATAAATTTAAAAAATACCGATTATAATTACCCCCATGAAATTGGCGTCGATGTTCAGCGACGAAAATTGTTTTTCACAGGACCAAAAATGTAAAATTATTTTTTTTTAGATTTTCGGTCAAAATAATGTTTTGAGAAATATTTTTCAAAGTACTATGTGGATACAAAATAATTTTAAAAATGATTTAATATTTTTGGTCACGTGATAAATAATAATTTTCGACGCTGGGTGTTGATGTAAATTTCATGGAGGTGTATAATTCGCATATTAACGAAATACTAATTGAAGATAATAATTAACTTTTTTTTATTTGTAACAAAATATTGAGCCCACTGTCAAAAGACCATTAAAGGGCAAATACATTTTAATTATATTATGAATACAAAAATAATCGGGACGCATGATTATGTTCTAAAAATTGTTAGTCATAATTTACATTTTATCGAATTTTATTTGTCCTAATTATGTTTTGAGCCGAATTTTTATTTCTTCGAATTGGTATTTTGCATAATTTTCATCAATCCGAATTTCTATATTGCAGAATTTTTATATAACCGAAAATTCAATCCACAGAATTTTTATTTGCTCGAATTTTCATTTAACTTAATAGGCATTTTAAAGAATTTTTATTGGGTAGAATTTCATTGAATAGAATTTTCATTTGTTCGAATTATTATTTGATATAATTTCCATATAATCGATTTTTCATACTACAGAATTTTTACTTAACCGACAAATTATTTAATAGAATTTCTAATTGATAGAATTTTCTATTGTACGAATTTTCAAGTGACGGAACAAACAATCGACAGAAAGATTTCGGCGCGATTTTAAAAAACAACCAATCAAAAATTATTGATAAAATTGTGATTGGTTGGTTTTAAAAATCGCGCTGAAATCTTTCTGTCGATTGTTTGTTCGGCCATTTGAAAATTCGGACAAATGAAAACTCTATCAATTAGAAATTCTATTAAATGATTTGTCGGTTAAGTAAAAATTCTGTAGTATGAAAAATCGATTATATGGAAATTATATCAAATAATAATTCGAACAAATGAAAATGAGTTAGTCCACTGACTTTCGTCTAATAGTGGTTGCGACAAAATTTTTAAAAAATCTAGTTTTAATATATGTGAAACTTGATGATTCCCTAAGTTCATTTACCATAATATTATGGTAAAAATTTTATTCCTTTTAAAAATATTAAATATCAAAAGTAGAAGGTTCACAATGTGATTTTGTAACCTTAAATTTTTCAATTTTTTTAAAAACGCTATTATTAAAAAGTATTAAAAATTTGATGTTGGAACTCACCAAAAACATAAATCACTTTATTCTGCACAGAGGAACGAAAGAATTATTGCAAAAATTTACTATTTTTGGATGATAAACGATTTTTAAAAAAATTTTATTTAAATATTCTCAAGATTTTTATTTACTTATAACTTTTTTGTCGGTGCTCCGAAAAAATTGAGGTTTTGCACAAAGATTTTTTATAATATTCTTTACCTTCTATTTTGGAGATATTAATTTTCAAAATTTTTCATTTAAAAAGGTTAATTAAAAGACTTGAAGTTAACTAACCAAATTCAAACTGCTCCATTTTTTATAAAAATATATTAAAATGTAGCGATTTGAAATTGGTCAGTTAACTTCAAGTCTTTTAATTAACCTTTTTAAATGAAAAATTTTGAAAATTAATATCTCCAAAACAAAGCAAAACACCTTCGTAAGATTTTAATAGAAGGTAAAGAATATTATAAAAAATCTTTGTGCAAAACCTCAATTTTTTCGGAGCACCGACAAAAAAGTTATAATAAAAATCTTGAGAATATTTAAATAAAATTTTTTTAAAAATCGTATATCATCCAAAAATAATAAATTTTTACAATAATTCTTTCGTTCCTCTGTGCAGAATAAAGTGATTTATGTTTTTGGTGAGTTCCAACATCTAATTTTTAATAGTTTTTTAATAATAGCGTTTTTAAAAAAATTGAAAAATTTAAGGTTACAAAATCACATTGTGAACCTCCTACTTTTGATATATTTTAATATTTTTAAAGGGAATAAAATTTTTACCATAATATTATGGTTAATGAACTCAGGGAATCATCGAGTTTCACATATACTAAAACTAGATTTTTTTAAAATTTGGAATATTTCATCATTCTTGAGAAAAACAAAATTAAAGAATAAGATCCTAATTTTAATTAGAAATTTATTTATAAACAAAAATAAAATATTTCATCGATCGTACGAATAAAGGAAGAAAGAAAAATGATCTAATTTTACGATTACATTCTATTATTTAATGAACTAGATTCTTAACGTCGAGATTCTTAATTTGAATTTTTTTGTCATTTTCAAGGTGAGATGGTCTTCCTGTAATATTTTCAGTACTCAGGATCATGCAGCTGCTGCAATAGCAAAAGCCGGTGTTCCAGTTTATGCTTGGAAAGGTGAAACTGAGGAAGAATACATTTGGTGTATTGAACAGACACTTCTTTTTGACGATGGGCAACCATTGAATTTAATTCTTGACGATGGTGGTGATTTGACGAATTTGGTGCATGAAAAGCATCCAGAATATTTGGAAAATTGTCGTGGAATCTCTGAGGAAACAACAACTGGTGTTCACAATCTTTATAAAATGTTTAAGGAGGGTAAACTTCGAGTTCCTGCGATAAATGTCAATGATTCTGTAACCAAGGTTAGTGAATATTCAGATACATATTTTTAAAATTCAGGATGTCTAATAACTTCAACAAAAAATTCCCTTACCTATACTTAATACTATAACTGTCATTAATAAACAAAATATTAGAGCTGATAAAAATCATGATTTAAAAAAAAAAAACAAAAATCCGTTTTTTTTATTTAAATCTGATTTTGTTATTTAAATCAAATTTATTTTTACTTACGTTTTTTTTAATAAATAATTTAACGATAAATTTAATAATAAAAACATCAGAAAATATTTATATATTTTTATCAAAGAAAATCACATTTTTGAATTAATAATTAAAACATATATGTTTTTTAAAATTGTTGATTTAAAAAAAAAAAATTTTTTTTGTCATTCCATTATTTTCCATTATGTATATTCTATTATATTTTGACATCATTAAATTTTAATGATCGCAAGAAATAATTTTTTTTTTCTTGTATTATTTGGTTTCTAAAATCATATAAAGTGGTTAAAAAGAAAAAACTTAATTTCTGACTATTTTGAAATATTTATTTTTTGAAAAAATTAAAATTTTTGAAAATTTATATTGGAAAATATTCTCGATAGAAAATAGTAAACATTGTGATAGAAGTTGAAGAAACGTCAATAAAATGTTATCTTGTTTTCTTTTATTCTATTTCTTTCTTTATTTTTAAATATAAAAAATTTTGAAAATTCATTAAAAAATTCTGAAAAATTCATTAAAAATGTGCGAAAAAATATTGTCAATAGAAAGGAAGAAAAATTGTATAAAAAATTCAATTGTAATAAATTTCAATTTTTTTTTCAAGTCTATAAATTCTAAACTTGTCAAAAAGGAAAACCTTTTATTTTTTACCGCTCTGTATGTTTTTTTTAGGATTAAAATGACACAAAAATAAAAAAATAAATAAAATAAAGTGTTGAAGAAAAGAAAAATTGAGAATTCTAAAAATTCCCAAATTAAAATGAGATTTTGTAGGAAAAATAAAAAATTTTGGCGCTGTTTGTAAAAATAAATATGACATAAATTTTAGTAATTCCAAAAGAATAAGCATTTGAAGGAAAAAATCGTTTTTGAAAATGAAAGATAAATTAAAAATTTAAGGAAATATAAAGTTTAGAAAAGAAGAAATTTCAAAAATAAAATGAAAAATTGCGAAAAAAAAATTGAAAACTTTAGACGAAGGTGAAGTACGCAACGTTTATGATAAACGATTTTTTAAGAAATAATTTTTTTAAATGAAAAATTCTATAATTTTTTGCCTAAAAAATATTTTTTTATAATTTGTTGATTAATGAAAACTACAAGAAATATTTTTTAGGCAAAAAATTATAGCATTTTTTATTTTAAAAAAATATTTCTTAAAAAATCGTTTATCATAAACGTTGCGTACTATAGAGATAATAGAACCTATTTTTTTTAAACCTAATACAGATGAAAAGGTGAATTATTTTTTGAAATTATTCGAATTTATTGAATATTCTTTAAATTCAATTTAGAAACTATCAAAAAAAAATTTTCTATGAATAGATTTTTACAAATTAAACTTGCGATTGATTAAAATTTGATTATATTAGAATTTTAATAGATTAAAATTTTCATAAATTGAGACGTAGATATTTTCAATTTAAAATTGATTAAAAATTATAATCAATTAAAATTCAGATTGTGTAAAAATTTGGATAAATTAAATTAAAAAAAAAAAAGTTACTCTCCTTTATTATTTTTACCTAGGTATTAAAAATAGACTATTTTTGGAATTCATCTGATTATAATTGTTTTTAGGCAGTCAAACTTTTTTTTCATATCACTATTACCGTAATTTATAAAAGTGACGCAACTTTTGTTTACGATGTCTTATTTCTTATATAAAAAGATTATCTACATCACCGAAAAAAAAAATTTTTGAAAAAAAATTCACGGTTTTTTCAAATATGATTTAATTGTTTAATAAAGAAGCTCAATTTTCTTTGAATAAAGTGCATTTTTTACAAAAACAATTATATTTTTAAAAGTGGTTCATTTTTTCAAAATTTTTGTTCAGGAAAAATAGAGATAATCTATTTACGTAGAAAATTAGCCATTGTAAACAAAAATTACATCATTTTTTAAAATGTGTATAATAGTGATATGAAAAAAAAGTTTATCTCATAAAATGTGTGTAAATAAACAAACTTTTAGATTAACAAATTTTTTTTCTAAATCGACATTTTTTCTTCTAAAATATATAATTTAGAAAAACATTTTTTGAATTTTTCAAAAAGGAATATAATTTTTTTTTCTGTTTGCCTGTGCCTAGCAAGAAAAATACAAGATTTTAATTAATTGATCAGAAAATTCCCTGACTATTTGAATTTAAATTTCCAGAGTAAATTCGACAATTTGTACGGTTGCCGTGAGTCATTGATTGATGGAATTAAAAGAGCAACCGATATTATGATTGCCGGCAAAGTTTGTGTCGTTGCTGGCTACGGAGACGTTGGAAAGGGTTGTGCACAAAGTTTGAGAGCATTCGGTGGACGAGTTATTATTACCGAAATTGATCCCATTAATGCCCTACAAGCCGCTATGGAAGGCTATGAGGTTGGTTTTGTTTTGTTTGAAAAAAAAATGAGAATAATATTAATTAATAATTGATATTATTTAAAGGTAACTACTATGGAAGAAGCAAGTCCAAAGGGACAAATTTACGTGACAACAACAGGTTGTAAGGACATCATTACTGGAGATCACTTTTTAAATATGCCCGATGACTCTATTGTTTGTAATATCGGTCATTTTGATTGTGAAATCGACACAAAATGGCTCAATAAAAATGCCACTGAAAAAGTCAGTATCAAACCACAAGTTGATCGTTACACATTGAGTAACGGAAGGTGAGAATTTTAATAAATTTACAAATATTTTAATTCAAACGCCTGATAAATTTTTTATGGAAATTATAAATTCTTTCTGTATATTTAAAGTCTATGATGAACGATTAGAAAAGAAATTATTTTTTAAAATGTAAAATTATAAAAATTTTTATAATTTCTTTTTTATCAATAAACTTCTTTAAAAATCGTTGATCATTAAACGTTGTGGATTTCAGTATTATTTAAATGTTTCTTGAATATTTTCCAAAAATTTTAATTTTCTAGACACATCATTCTTCTTGCTGAAGGTCGTTTAGTGAATTTGGGATGTGCTACTGGACATTCTAGTTTCGTTATGAGTAATTCTTTCACAAATCAAGTATTAGCGCAAATCGAATTATGGACAAAGACTGATTCTTATCCACTTGGCGTTCACATGTTGCCCAAAAAGGTGAGAATTTTATTAAAATTATGTAAATAAGAAAAATTATAAATAATATGATATATTAAAATTTGTTTTTTCATATTTTTAGTTGGACGAGGAAGTGGCTGCTTTACATCTAGCAAAATTAGGAGTAAAACTAACAAAACTCACTCCTGCTCAAGCGGAATATTTAAATATTCCCGTGGAGGGACCTTACAAGCCCGATTATTATAGATATTAAATAAAAAATTCTACGTCACTTCACTTTTTATCGAAAAAGAACAAAAATAAAATTTTTGCAAATAAAATTTTCAGTTTATATTTTAATACATACCTTGAGATACATAATTATTCTCACCTCATCATTAGATCTAAAAGTCATTTGATCTAATTTATAATTGTTAATAATTTTAATAAAATTCTTTAAAAATTAAATTATCTGAAATTATTTTTCAGTTAAATATTTTTAAAAATACAATAATTGAAACTTCAACAAAAAAAAAAACAATTTTAGCAAGTAAAATTACCAAAAATTCTAATTAATAGAAAATAGATGAAAGAAATATTTTTAATTAATTAATCATAAGTAATAAGAATTATAGTAAATTCACATTCTAATAAACCAATTTTCATGTTTTTTGACATTTGAATAAATTAGATCAAACCTCGAAAACTTTGTTTAATTAAAAAACATATGAATATCAATATAACCTAAATTTGTTAGAAACTTGGAAATATTTTCTAATTTGACCTCTAATTTTCCAATTTACATAATCGAGATAAAAATGAAACCACTAGATGTGTTGCCATTAAATGTCAGCCCTTTGATAAAGGTATAAAATATGAAAAATATTACTTTATTTAGTTTCTACAAATTTTTTTTCTTCTTTTTAAATTTACTAGTTATCGCGATGGATGTTTTTAATTGCTGGAATATATCACGGAATAGTGAAGCACAGAGAATACAAAATTGAAGCGGACAAATTTCGTAAAGAGGAAGAAGAAATGAAACTAATAAGAAAAGAACAATTTGCTCGCGAGCAAAATTTAAGAAATCAGGGTAAAAAATTATAAATTTAATTGTTAGTTAATTAAATTCTTAATAAAATGAAAAGATCGCTCCAGCAAAAATCATCAAAACCGAGTAATTTTAATTATTAAAAAAAAAAAACTATAATTATATTCCTTTATATGCCTTGATTATTATTCATTCATTAAGTAAAAATAATTTTTTGAAAAAATAAAAGATATTTTACTAAATAAACTCTTGAATAATAATCAAAATGCATAAAGGAATGTTATGTATTTACAGATTTTTTTTTTTTAAATAATGACTCAACCCATTCTAATTAATTTTCGCTGGAGTAATCCTAAAAAAAATACCTTAAAGAAAAATTTTTTATTCAGAGACTGCACGAGAACTCGCCGAAGCTTTAACTGGTTTACGTGTTGAATTCAAAAAAGTATTTTCTTCAGAAAATAATGACAATTCGTCATCAGAAAATGAATTAACATCAATTGACAAATCTCAAATAAAAATTAATACCATTGCTACTGAATCTTCTTCACATGATAAATCCACATCAACTAATGAATTTATTTTTAAAGATGATTCCAATTCAATAAACGATGATCAAAAATAATAAAAAAAGAAGATTGAAAAATACTATTTTTGTATATTTGAAAAGTTATCTATATATATATACAGTCTCGAAAAAGAAAAGCATTTTAAATATATCAACGAAAAAAATTATTCGAATTCGATGTTATATTCAATAATAGTTTTTCTAATAGTATTTAAATAAAAATATCACTTATACTTTGTTAAAAATAAACAAATTTTTATATTTGATTTTCAACAAAGCTGTAATATATTTACAGTAAAAAAAAGAAACTTAATTAATTTCCCCCAACATGTATTTACATTTTTAGGAGAATAATACTTTCCTGTAAACAACAACAGCCACATCCAGTTGGACATAATGTCTCGTTTGTAAACCAAGCAGCCAAATGTTGTGTGTGACCACCGTGGCCACAAACTATACAAAAATTGCTAGGTCCTAAAAATAATTTATAAAATTTTTTTTAATAAAGAAAAAATTATTAACAAATAAGATCGAAAAAAAAATTATTTTCTTTTTGTGCTTGATTTTGAAATATTGGAAAATTCAGTGAAATTTAATAATTATTTACTGTTTACTTTATTTTATTATTATATTATTTAATAGTAAAAAAAAAGATTAACAAAGTCGTTACGGATTAATTTTATAAAAATTCATACTTTCAAAAATGATTCTGTATAATTTATAGAAAAGGAAATAAGATAAATTAAAAAAAGTAAATAAATAAAAATTATTAAAATAAACAAAAAAACTAAAAAATATTATGTTAAAATTTTTATTATTTTATTTATTTTTGTATTAATTTTTATTTTTTTTTGTCACTTTTCAGCCATTAGAAAAAATATAAAAAGCACAGAATAATTCTTAAAAGTGAAAAAAGAATTATTAGCTCTTGCTTAGAATTAATTAACATTTATTATTGTTTAAAGAATAAAGTATCTAGTGAAAAGATTAGAATAATGAATAAAATGTGTTTTCAAAGTTCATCATTAAAGTAAATTAATTTTGCGTTTTTCAATTATTTGCAAAAACAATGAAACAAATTTTTATTTTACAATAAAAGAATAATAAAAAGAATTTATTTCCAGACGAATTTTTATTTGTTTGAATTTAAATTTTACAGAATTCTAAAAAACGTCGCATTTTTATTATTACAAAACTTTCATTTGACAGAATAAATATCTGACAGGAAAAAAAAATTTGAACTCTAATTTTTAAATTAATTATTAGAAAATCATAAACGAAATTCTGATTGATTAATTTTAAAATTAGCTCCCAAATTTTTCTGGCAGATATTTATTCGAACAAATGAAATAAAAATTCTGTAAAATGAAAATATGGCGTTTTAAGAATTCTGTAAAACTAAAAATTCTTTTAAATATCTATTCTGTCTAATGAAAATTCGAGCGAAAAAATGATTCTGTCAAATTTGAATTCGATGAAATAAAAAGTATGGAAAATGAAAATTCGCTTAAGTAAAAATTCTATAAAATAGTCAAATAAAATAAAATTCTAACAAATTTGTAATGTTAAATTAATTAATAATTTAGAAATTAATTCATGCGTCATTTATTTTGTTCCCTAAATATTAGAAAGAATTATTTCTGTAAGTATCAATTTTTTTTTAAATTAAGCCGCAATAACTTTGTTCTTAATATAGTAATCTGGCTAATTTCAAAAATACCTCTACTTTTATCATAAAATTAAAATGTTTTGCTTACCTCTGACAGAAATGTGACAAATGGCACATTGGAAAGTCAAACGTTTGCAATTACTGCATTGCGGACCTTTACCTGTCTTTCCACAGGACGAGCATTCACTTTGATATTCAATACTTTTGTTTATATCCGTTTGAGATGTGCTAACGTGCTTCAATACTTGAGCTCGTGCATCCAAAAGTTTCCATCTGTGCAACACTTCTGCGTAAGCTTTTTTATATCCATCATAGAGAGCCATATTTTTTTCATCAATCAGTCTAAAGAAATGAAATTAGTAGTAAGATAGCAAAAATAAAAAAAATACATATATATTTTTGTTACTTGGAGAGATTTAAACAAATTACATTTCTCACAGCCATTAAAGTTAATTTTAATGAAGGAAAAATTGTAATAAATTATTTATATAAAAAAGGTTTTTTTCGATTTAAGACGTTTTGTTTTTAATTAAAGTCCATCATAATTAGAGAATTTTAAGGTTTTGGTAATATTTTCTTGTAAAAAGAATTAAAATTATAAATCATCTTGGTTAGGTCCAAATATTTTTAAATTGAAATTTCAGGGTTATTACATTTTCTAGAAATTTGGAAAAGTCACGGAATTTTATTCGCTATTGAAAATTCAGAAAAAAGTATAAAACACTTAGAAAAAAAAAATAAAATCAAAAAATTCATTAAAAACTTTGCCAAACAAAATTTTCATCTATAATAAATTATTTAAAATTAAATAATTAAATAATTTTCCGATTTTTTTCTGTAATTTAGATGAAATAAATGTGGATTAATATTAACAAAAAACATTTTTAATTTTAACATCCCTAATAATTTAATTGTTAAAAAAAAAAAATGAAAATTATTACCTAACATTACGACCGCATTCCCCAAATGCATCTTGAATAACTTTGAGATCATCTAAAGTCTCTGACCAGGAGTTCGATCTGTTTTGTTTAAGATTTTGAAAATTCCATCCTTCCAGACTTGTATCTGCAGGATGTATAGTGTGATATGGAGATCCACCAGGCTGAAACAAATCTTCATTTTAAAAGGAGATTATCGTTGATAATAATTTATTGAAAAATCGAAAATCAGCGTCCTATTAAAAATATTACATATATTGCTGCAAAATAATTTTTTTTTTACAACATTTACACAATTTTTCACTAAAGCTTATTTAGAGAAAAGCAAAGCTTTTTATCATTATCATCATCATAAACACCTTGCAATCAGAATAAAGTAAAAAAAAAAAAGAAAGAAAGATTTGATTGGTGAAAGAAATAATGCAAATTATCAAAAGAAAAATAAATTAAGCATAGTGTTTTGTATGCCGCATTGAACACAAAAGTTTTCTCACTTGAAGGTTCACATCTCAATATATATTTTAACAATTAAGATTTTTTTTTAAAATGTTTTTGAATTTTTCAATAATTGAAATAAAATTTAATTGTAGTTTTTTTAATTTATAAAATACGTAATGAAATTTAATGTATTTAATAATTACAGTTTAAATTTTTTAAAAGTTTGAAGATGATTTGATTTAATTTATTAAAATTTCAGGTACTTTTTTAAAATTCGATTCAAATTAACGGAAAGAAAATGGATTTATTTTTCTAGAAAATTTTACAATTGGAGAGTACCTATTTTTTTTTCTAATACGATATTGAAAAGTGAACCATTTCTTACCTTCGACCACCGCTTTCCCGTGAAAAACTTCTATAACAAAGATAATAAATTTTTTGTCAGTGTACATGTAATGTGTCTTTTCTCACGATTCGTAAAATAATCTGAGTTTGTGTTTTTCTTTTGGGTACAGTTTTATATAAAAGAAAAAAGAAAAAAAAATGAAATTCTATGTTAAAAATATTCTTGAAAACCACACTTACGTCCTAACTTCCTACTTCTGCACTTCTAAAAATACTTTCAAAACGATAAAATAAAACCAAAATCAATATTCTAATGTTCAGTATAAATAAATTTTAAATACAAAATGCAGTTCAATGGAGTAAATTAATAGTAAAAGTAAAACAAATATGAGAATAATAAATAAAAAAACGAGCCATAGATGAATGACAGGGTTGCCACAAGAATAAATATTATTAAATTTCCTCACATTTCCCTGATAAAAATTTGTTATTATAAATTTTTAAATTTTTATTACTATATTCCATGAATGATTGAAGCATTAACAGTTTAAAATTTGTGTAAATTGAATTTTGTTAAATTAAAATTCCGAAAATTTGAAACATAAACCAATTAAAATTTGGACAAATTAAAATTCGTTAATTTTAAGTTTCAAACGATTGAATTTGCATTCAAATTATTTCTTTTAAATAATACATTCGCAAATTAATCTAATCATGAAAAAAATTGTTTTTTCACTAACTTGTGGCTACCTTGAATGAGTTTTATGAGTATGTTATGTTTTTATTTAGAAAAAAAAATCAGTCATGATTTTTAGATCACTTTATTAGCGAGAAAAAGCGTTTTGAATGGTATACTATACCGGCATATGTATATTTTTTTAAAAATCAAAATTAAGGGTAAAAGGAAAATTTAGTGTTAAAAATAAAAGAAAGTGCATGCGGCAAAATTGCGAAAATCTTGAAGAATTGCATATATAATTTTAAATTCAATTTTTCATGATACTTACACTGACGTTTACAGATTTGCTTATCATTCGTCCCTGATTTAAATCTGCATTTTCAGATCGATAACTAAATGCACAACTCAACATACCGGCCATCTGAATATCAGATTGTCGAGCATAATGTTGAATTCTGAGGATAATCAAAAATTTTTTTTAATTTTTCAAACTTTTATATTTAAATTTTTTTAAAAATATATTTAGTACAGATATTTTAGAAACTTATTGGTATATTTCACTAATAATAATAAAATTAATAATAAATAAATGTCATCAAATGAAATTACAAAAATAAAAAAAAATTTGAAAAAATTTATTATGTCCTTATTAAATATTATTCAATAGGTAACGTACGTAAATATTAATATTAGTAAATTTTTTAAATTTTAATTAAATAGAAGAAATTTCCAAAAAAAAATTTCTGACAATAATTCAATTTTAGAGTTTTTATTTGGAACTTTAATAAATAATTGAAATTTTAAAGAAATATCAAAATTATTAAAAATAATTAAACTTTGGAAAAGTTATAGTTGAAATTCTAAGAAATAATTAAATTTCAAAAGATTTTGTTAAATTTCAGAAAATAATTAAATTTTACAGAATTCTAAATAATTTATCAAATAATTGTAGATAACATTTTTTAATAGTAATTGAATTTTCAAAGATTTACAATTCAGATGTTTGAAATTAATTAAACTTCAAGTGATTTTTAATTGAAATTTTTAGTGATTTCTGTTGATGAAGAATTTATAGAAATTATAGACAAAAATTGAATTTCAAACGTTTTTAATTAAATTAATGCTTTCAAATAATTAATTTTTTAAAAAATATTATAAAAATCATTTAAAATCATTAAATTTTGAACGAGTTACAGTTGATATTTTTAGAAATAATAAATAATTAAATTTTAGAAGGTTTTAAATTGAAATTTTTGAAAATAATTGAATTCAAGTGATTTTGAATTGAAATTTTTTGGTGATTTCTCTTGCTGAAGAATGTTTTCAGATAATTAAATTTTTGAAGAATTTGAATATTATAAAAATCATTAGAAATAATTGAATTTCAGAAGAGTTATAATTAAATTTATTAAATTTCAAATAGTTTTAGATGGAAAAATTTAAAAATAATAAATTTTAATAGGTTTTAAATTGAAATTTTTAATAATTTTATTTTATTTTAATTAATTGTAAATAATTGTTGAATTTCCTAAAATTTTTCATTGAAAAATAATTTAAAAATATTGAATTTGTGAAGAATTTCAATAAAATTATTAAAAATAATTAATTTAGAGGAAAATGTTTGTTAAAAATTTGATAAATAATTGAAATAAAAAAGATCTGAATTGTATACTTAAAAAGACGTATTTTGTTTAAAAAATTTGTAAAAAATGTAAAAAAAAAGTTGAAAAAGTTATATAATCGGAGGCCTGCATTCTGAATTAATTTTAATTGTAATTTGTTTTTAAAACCGGAACAATAACATTATATATTTATGGAATGTTTAGAACCGTGTTTAATATTGATGAAAAAATTTTTTTTAAGATCTTTTTGACGGTCAAAAGGCCAAAGAAAAAATTTTTTCACTATATATTTATATTTGTTTATATTCCCAGGTCCCTAATGATGAAAATAGTTTAGATTTTTGAAACGTCGGATTTTTAATAAATCTGACTTGCTTGTCCAAAAGTGTCGTTTTTCAAATGATTGATTTTTTTTTAATTTTGTAAAAAAAATAGTAAATAAATAAATTATCGACTTTCATATAATATTATAAAACGCATAATTATTGAATATTTAAAAATATAATTACTCACAGGGAGTGAATTAAATTTTGACCAAATGGATGTAAAGGCCACGTTACTTCTATATCCGAAGGTTGAGATGTACTTGGAGTAGAATGTGTCGTAGGTTGAGATATAACCAAAGCCGCTAAATACCAAGCTTGCACCAAATCCGGCCTTTCCAAAGACGCAGCTACATTTGCATTATAATGACACATTGCAGATATATCTGTGGTATTTATTCTATGAAAAAAAGAAAAAGAGAATTAATAAAATTGAAAATTAATAATATTGTTAAAAAAACGCACCAATTTATACGGTAGCAAGAAAAAAAAAAATATTATAATTGTATATTTAAAAAATGGACATACATATATTTCTCGGCAAGTTCTTTATTGACAAAGAACAATGAAGAAGCATCATAAATTGTCACCATTGAATGATAATTTTTGTGACAAAGTTTACTTTGAAATTTACTGGAATTTTGCAAGCCTCGTCTTGAAATATTCTATTTAAAATTAAAGCAAAAAAAAAAAAAAAAGAAAGGTTTGAAAATTATTTTCGTAATAAAATTTTTTTAGTTTTTTGAATATGGAGAAAAAAATTTCTTACACGATCATGAAAATAATAGGAACTAATTGAAATATTATCATTAGACTGGCCATAGGAAGTTGGATAAATTTGCATGAAATTTCCATTATTATGAACACTCGAACCTAAAGCAGCTAATGCTCTAGGCGTTGCACCTTCTGGTTTCATGGAACTTCTTCTTGCATAATGGGATCTTCCAAAACAAACAAGAATCCCTGAAAGAATAACTAAATATAATAATTTATATTTACATGAAAATTAAATATTAAAATTCAGTTTTCCCAATTGTTTGTTTATTATTATTATTATATAAAATATAAAAAATCATTTGAAATTTAGGAAAAATTAAGACTTAGAAATTTATTTTTACGAAAATTCTATTAGGAATGTATAATTTTGGAAAAATTTATTTAGGAAATTCTAAAATTAGAAAAAACATTTACTAATATAATTTTACTTAATTTTATTAAAATGTAATTTATCATAGTGAAAATTTGCCTCACCAACGCAGGAAAATTTTGCACCCGATGTTCTTGGAAATGGAATGTATGCATCCTGATAATTAGCGCAAATATTGCTCGAGTTCAAAAAATTTGCATTATGTTGCATATGATATTTTAAATGATTATTTTCTGGTTCATCTTTAATACACATCTAATAAGGAAAAATAAAAATTATTTTCAAACATAAAAATGATTTTCAATCTAAAAAAAAACCATCTAATCTATAAAAATTATTTTCTACGTTAAAAATGTTATACATACTAAATTATAATTTATTACCTGATCTAAAGTAGCAATAAGTTGTCGCAAACATGGCTCTAGACAAGAACGATTTTTTCTAACACGCTGCTGAGCAGTTTGTTTCAATACTTTTAATAATTTCACTTTTATCGTATTATCAACTGTCGTTCCAGAACAAAATTGAAAAGTTGGCTGCGCACTGTATGGATAATTACCCGGAAAATTTACTTTTAATATCACATTATAATTTTTGTTACACGCAGTAACTGTACAGCTTCTTTCCACAGCATCCATTTCATTTACCTGATAATGTTATTTTATCAAATTTTGTTACATGATGCAAAATATAATCATTAAGAGACTAAGAGTAAAATAATCGAAATGAGATTTTAAATAAACATTTAAGTTGTAAATTTTTATTTTTATTTAGCTGATAAAAATGATTTTTTTAAATCTAATTTTTTTTATTTAAATAAGATTTCTTTATTTAAATAACATTTTAAAAAAGTTAATTTCTAAATAGTTTTTTTTTATGTTGGTGATATTTACTGCGTTTATGATCAATGATTGAAAAAATATATATATTTTTTTTTCATCTGGATGATAATAGAATTTTTTTTCCTACAAATTATTTTCTTTTAAAAATTTTTGATTGACAAATGTTATAAAAATTATTTTTTTAAATGAAATTGATTTAAATCATTGCGCAGCTCTGTTATTTTGATAATGCTTTTACATTACTTACCTCTATATTTGGTATATTTATATTTATAAGAGAAAATTCTTGCTGTAATGTTTTTGGTTGCGTTGGAGAAGGCACTTCTTTATCCTGCTCGGATACATTTAAATCATGATTTACCGTTGAACCATCAATTTTTGTCACATAATTTAAATCTGATTCATTTTGAGATTCATGAAGCTGAAGTTGTTGAACTGTTTGTAGTGATCCTGAAAGAGAAAAAAAAATTCGTATTTAATTTTAATAATTCCCTTTTTTTATTTGCTCTATTTGAAATTGAAAATAAAAATTCTTAAATTACTTAAATAAAATACTTACTTAAATTACTGTCTTCTGAATACTGAGTAAAAACTGAAGTTCCATCTTCTATGTCATGCCCGCATAACTGAAAAAAAAATTATTAATTTTTGGTTTTATAAAAAATAATTTAAAAAAACTTTTTAAATACCTTTTTCAATAGTGGATCAATTTTAAATATCCTCAAGCACTGATCCTTCGACCACGTAATCAATTCATAATCACTATTTTCTGTAAAATTTTCTTGTTATTTACTAGGACAATTTAAATAAACTATACATATTTAATTTTAGAAAATTTTGAATAAGATAATAATAATAAAAATAATTATTATTTGATAAATAATCTCAAAAATTTTCCTGTAGAAAATCTTTGCCATTTGCATTAGAAGAGAATTAATAAATACCAGACTTTTGTTGCCTCCATTGAAATTCTAAAACAACATCCGTATGTCCAACGAATGTATAAATTGGAGAACTGAGATTCGCTGTATTCCACAATAGAAGACTATTTTCTCCTCGTCGCAATTGCGGCACGACAATTGTGACAAGACCTTCTCCAAAGGGCTAAAAACAAAAATAATTATATTACAAAAATACAAAAAATGAAAAATCATGATATAATTTATAAAAACTTTAAAAAAAAGAAAGTATCCAAATACCGTGTATCTCGCTCTCCATACTGGAGAATTAGTTGTAAGAACACTTTCGGCTCTTCGTGGATTTCCTATATCGAATATTTTTACTGTACAATCCTGACTCGATGTTGCCAATTGATTTTGTTGAAAAGGACACCAATCTAAGCCGTGAATCTAAAAAAAACAGTTAAATAAACTATTATTATTATTTAAATAAATTATATTACTACTAAAAATTGATAAAGAAAATAAATAAAAATCAATGTACAATAAATAAAGGAAATAAACAAAAATGAGATACTCAAAAAAAGAGTAGGTACTCACTTTTGTCAAGTGAGCTGCTATATATTGTACTGGACTATTTCCTTTTCTTTGATCCCATATTTTAACATCTCCATCGTGTGCAGTTGCCAACATATGAGGAGACAATATATTCCATTGCACTTGAGAAGCTCCGGCTAAAAATTATTTTAATTTAAAAAAAAATCCTAGAAATATTTTTCCACGGAAAAAAAATATAAAGTAACTTCTACTATTTGCTAACAAAAGTAAAATTTAAACTGTTTAAAATTTCTGCGCATCTCTGTCAATTTTTGCTCCGAAAATTAAAATTTACTTCTGAAATAGTAAAATTTATTCAAGAAATAATATTTTTTACTATTTCCAAAGCAAAAATGCACAGAAATTAGGATTTATTTTGAAAGTATGTATAGTAAAAATTATTTCATTTTTCTCCGTGTTGAGAAAAAAAAAACTTACCAACTGCTGAAAGAGATTGACTCGGTTTTCTCTGATCACGTATGTCCCAAATGTGTATAAATGTGTCAATACTGCATGAAGCTAAAAGTTCTGGTTCTGAAGGATGCCAATTTAAATCACTAACTACCCGTGTATGTGCTCGTAAACTGTGAACCGTTTGTAAATCATATCCTGCTCCTCCCGTAAACGACAGTATTTCCACTCGTGTATTACTCTAAACATATATATATTATATTTTTTTAATAAATTGAAAATTACAGGGATACATTTTTTCTTTAAAATTGGTGAAAAAGTAAATTATTTTCCAAAAGTAGGTGACAAAAAAAAATGATAATTAAAACCAATTAAGGTAGTGCAAAAAATTAGATTTTTGGATAAATTGAAAATTAAATTTCAAAATACAAAATTAAATTGATAAATATTAATATTACTTATATTAGGATAAATTGAAATTCGAAAAATTTAAAACATCAATTAAAATTTAGAAACATTAAAATACGGATAATTTGGAAACTTAAATAGTTTAATCTCCAAGTAGATTCAAAATTTCATTAATTTTAAGTTTCAAAAGATTGAATTTGCATTTAATTAAAATTTGTTTTGATAAATAAAAATATAAATAAATACTTTATTAAAATGTAGTGTTTTCAAAATTTTTTATTTTCAAAAGATAAATAATTTTTGATAAAATATCAGTAGAATATTAAAAATAATTTGAAAAAAAATGTTTAAAAAATATTAATTCATTGATTTAAATCATGATTTAAACGTAAACAATCTTTCAATTTATATTTTGATTTAAATCATGATTTAAATCAAATTGATTTAAATCATTGCAGCCCTGATAATTTTAGATTATTCTTTAAAAATGTTAATACAGTCCTCGAATCGACTTTAAGACGCATAAAAGGCAAATTTAGTCAATTGAAATTAGAAGAAAAATTGAAAAAGTCGATTTTTTAAATATTATTAAATTAAATTTAATAAATATTTTATTTCAATATTAACAATTGATATTCGATATTAAAAATAAATTTTAATAATTCCTCAATAAAATTAATAACATAGGAATCTTTCAAGAAATTTTATTATTTATTTATTTATTATAATAATGTAACATAGATATATATATATTATCTTTTTACATGAGGCTGTAATTATGTATCTATTCACTTAAACAGAAAGCTCTTAATTTTACTAAACCTTTTACAAAATAAAACAATTTCTTTACATCTAGAAATTTTATTTAGATATAATATTTTAAAATTAAATTGAGAAAACTGTTTAACAATTTAAAAAATTTTAGATTTATTAAAAAATATGAAAGTTAGTTTCTCAAAAAAAATTTCAAGTATGATTTAGACAAATTATTAATAAATTCAGAATTTTGTTATAGTTTGAAGTTGAAATAATTAAACTTTTCAGTCACTTTTTAAAAATTAAATATTTTTTTGAAAAATTAGAGAATTTTGTACGTGAAAGTGTTTTAAATAATTTTGAATTTTAGAAAAATTTGATAAAAATTATATATGAATTGAAACAAATGAAAATTTTAAAAATATTTGAGTTTTGTAAGAGTGACATATTTAAGAATTTTAGAAATAATTCAATTTCAAGAGATTTTAAATTAGAATTTTTGAAAAAAATTAAATTGCAAAAGAATTTTTACAAAGTGTAGGCAATAATAATTGAATGTTAAAAAAATTTTCATTAAATAATTAAAAAATATGTAAAATAATTTAATTTTAGAACTTGTTTAAAATTATTCAAAATACTTAACTTGCCGAAAGGAAGTTTAAATAGAAATTTAAAAAAATTGAATTTCAGAAGAGCTAAAATCCAGATTTTTATAATTAATCAAATTTCAGATTTTGAATTGAAAATTTTGTAAATTTGAATTGCTAAAGACTTTTTTTTTTAAAGAATTTCAGAAATAATTAAATTTTAAAAAACTTTTATCTATGAAAAATGTTTTAAATAATGTTCTTTAAAATGTTATAAATTGAATTTTCAATGAATTTTATTAAAAATCATTGAAAATAATTAATTTCGCAAAGACTTTTTAGATTCAAAATTTTAAAATTACAATTAAATTTTGAAACAACTACAGTTTGTACTAAAAAAAAGTCATTGATATTTTGTTTTTAATTTGATATGTTTATGACAATTACTTACTGATATTGCACAAAGATGACAATTTGAAGCAGTTGGATTCCATTCAGCAGAACCAACTTCATATTTGCTTTGTCTATTGAATTTTTTTAATGTATCCGATACATCGTCTAGCTGTTTTACCGCAAAACAACGTCGACTAAAATCACATAAACAAGTGGTTTTTAGTTCTAAAATATATAGCAACTTTGAACTTAAAAAAAATTAAGAGTAAGAAAAAATTTGCAAATTTTTCAAAGATAACCTCACTTTTTAAATTTTAGATAAAAGAAGATTAATTAAAAAAAAAAAGAGTTAAATAAAATAATTTTGTAAAATTAATACTTACCCTGCCAATAAAACATGGTTACCAGTGGCATCAACTGCCATGGTATTAGCCTAAAAAACAAAACCATAACAATGACATTTATTTTGTTTTTTCAATTCAACAATGACATAATTTTTTTATCATATTAATTTTTATTATGAATTTTTTTGTAAATAATCTATAAATAATTTTATACCTGTAAATCACGATGTTCAGTGACAACATAGTTGCTGCCCCAGCGTTTTGACATAATTATTTATAATTTAAAAACTAGCTTCTGTCATTTTATTTAGAGGTTATGAATGCCCATCAATATTTTCGTTTTGGATTTTACACACTGTAAAAAGTCCAAACAGAATTTTCCCAAAGATAGGAATTTTACTTTTAAGAATCCATGGCACAAATACTATATTAAATGCAGAAATAATACAGGGTCCAAAATGGAAAATACAATATTTGGTAATTTTACTATTTCGAATATTGGGATTTTCCATTCCTCGGCGAAATTCCTACTTTTAAAGTGGGTAATAATGTTACCCACTTTCAAAAGGACGAAATGACTGAAGGCTGTGAAACTGCACTAGATGGGAAAATTACCATTGGCGAACGTAACCTTACTAAAGCAAAAATGACAATTCCACACTGTAGTATTTTTCCTGTTTTTAATGTAGTATAATCACAAGTGTTGGTAATATTCCCGTTTCTTTAGAAAAATACATTAGCGTGTAAAATTACCATTTTTTAAAAGTAATATTAACAATTTTTGGAAAATTCCCAAATATTGAAATTCATAATATACGCATACATTTACGATTTATGCGTCGTGTGCAATCATTAATGCCCGGCAGCAGTCGGCATTCATCGACAATTGTCTTTTTGATTGTAAAAATGGTAAAATTTTACGACACGAGTTATTTTATCCTTACATAGGACAATTCATAAAAGTTTTTGTTCATAATTTAAATTAAACTTGAATATGAAAAATAAAAATGTTAATGTTTCTTGTGCAAAAATATAGGAATAAAATATAGAGTCTAATTGTGTTTATAATTATTTTTTCTTTTTATTTTATAAAATTCTTTAGCGAATATTAATAACTTAAAAGTAAATACCTTCATCGTAATCGCATAAAAAGTATAAATTATTCCTATATTTTTATAAACATAAAAATTTAATATTTTATAAAATTTCGGAAAAGTACTCTTTTTTCAAAGCAATTTTATTTCAGTCGGTAACATTACTGATGTCTGTATATTTACTTTCTCCTGCGTTTAAAATACCAGAAAGTGTAACTGTACAGTTCGTGGCAATTTTCCCATCTCGTCTGGAAAATTACATAACCTAAAAATTTTATTCCCATCGACAGTAAAAGTGCCGTTCTGATAGTGGGTAATAATCTTTCCCACTTTCAAAGTGGTAAAATTCCATTAAGTCTTTTTACAGTGCATTGTCTTATGTGTGAGTGCATAATACAAATACAGATTCATTTATGTATATATATATATCAACTGACTGCGACGATAAAATAATAAGTTTGCGCAAATTTTGCGATTGCAACGCTTCTTGCGTCTGATATATGAACAAACATAACCTCTCTCCCTCTTCACCCCCGTGTACCCCGCGAGCATCTAAAAACCATTTGACTGTTCGTGACGCAGAAAGAGACGGAATAAAAAGTTTGGTGTGTTTGGACGCTTTGTGTATTCTATTTCTGTCACGTAGAAACGAGTTTTGTGCATATAACATTTATATGCAGTTATTTTAAATAGAATCAAGTGTTTTTCTTCATCAAATAGTGTAAAACATCAGAGTATCATCGTGAAAATAGTTTTTTTTTGTGACAATTGTTTTCGGTGTTATAATAATTGTATGATAGTATATTAACAATGTCAGTAGTAATCATGGATTGTTTTCGTCAGTAGCGCGTTTCTTGAGTAAAAGTTTTTTTGACAACTGATCCTTCACCTCAATATTGCCCTTCTCCAATATTTTTCATTTTAAGTGATCGCTGTTTGTCAAGAACCTATATATATATTGAAAAAAATAAAGAAAAAAAAAAACAGTGTTTTTTTTTCTCAGCCGGGGTCTTTTTTTTATATAGAGCGTCCCGCAGATCATTTTGAACTCGACGAGTCTACTTTTTCGCTGGCGAATCGCCCGCGAATAATTTTACTAAATCGAGTTAATTGCACCGGGAATTTAAAAAAATAAAAAAAAAACACCAGTGTTCATTTTAATACGAATTAATATTTTTGTTGATTTGTAATGTACCCAAAGTTTAGCACCGAGCGAAGAACCATTAAATCAACAATCAACTTCGTACACTCGAAGAGGAAAGGAATCTTCATACACAAGAAAAAAATGTTCAAAGACACAATAAGTCTTAGAAATCGTATAAGTTTTTTAACAGCTCGTCGCTACTGAACGATTTCATTGATAAGCTTTATTGGGATTTAAAAGTTTTTTCTTTTCTAAGACCAAAATCGATGAACGTATAAAGCTTTCATTGAACGAAAGATCCTGATCAATAACAAACGTGATCATTGTCATAAAGATCGTTTACCTGGAGGTAGGATCATAGGATTTTAAAACAAAATGAAGCTATTAGAGAGTTCACGATTTGAAGCCATCAACAGCGCTTTGTCAATTACCACTGGTGACAGTAAAATAATTGGAAGGTATTTTTCGTTGTTTTTCTTGTTATTATTATATTAAAATAATCGAAAGATATTTTTGTTATTTTTCACAGTTTATTTTTAATTATGTATTTACTTATTAATTATTTATTTATATATTTAACAATTTTGAAGTCTACAAAGTTTATATGATTAACGATTTTTTTTCAAAACAAAAAATTATGAAATATTTTTTTGCCAAAAAAAAATTTTTTCTTTTTTTAATAATTTCTTTATCAACAAGAAATTGAAAGAATTTTTTCATTGGAAAAAAAAATATTTTTTTTTTTTTAAATCATTGATCATAAACATTGTCAACTTCATCGTATGATATTAATTATAAAAATTGTTTGATTAACTTTTTTTTCATAGGATTGAAAGTTATTCTTGTAAAATGGCTGGAAATGATAAACAGCTTTATAAACGATTTAATTCAGAGCAAGGAGTTACACCTCATGATCTTCAAGCTCTTTCACCCCCGCAGACATCTCTTGGGACATCACCGGCTCAGGGTTACTGCAGGTAATGAAAATTTATTATTAATTTTCTCACCTATAAAGTTTACAATTTCATAAAGAAACGATGCTATATAGTCCGCAACGATTAGAAAACAAATTTTTTTTTTTTTTTATTTAGATGGAAAATTGTAAAATTTTTATCTAAAAAAATGTTTTTTTTTTAAATTTAAAAAAAAAATTTTTAAACATTAAAAAAAAATATATATTTATTCAAAAACTCGTTGATTATAAACGTTGTGAACTTTTAGAATTGTTCAAAGAAAACAATTTTTTTTTTTTCTAAAATATTATCATTACTAATTAACGTCGGTGAAGTTCACAATGTTTATTATCAACGATTGAGAAGAAAAAATATTATTATTATTTTTGATCTACAAAATTTTTTGCAACGTTTCTTGATCAACAATTATTTGGAAAAAAAATTTCTAGTCAAAAAATTAGTTATTATTTTTTGAGTGGAAAATATTTTTTTTTTTTTGAATCGTTGATCATAAACGTTGTAAACTTCACCAATGTACTAATTCTATAATTTGGAACTTAAAAAATATTTGATTATTTTTATACAATTACAGTTTGCTTTATTTGATTACATAATTGATGTTTGTTTACTTGATGAGATTTTTGATAATATTCGAATAATTATGAATTAAATCTTTCATGAGAAATAAATTAGTACGAGATATAGGCTAATGAGTTTCTGATTAATTGTTAATGAACTTGAATTTCAGTTTTACTGTATATAAATTTAATTAAGTAAATCAATAAGAGTTTGACCTTAAAATATTTTCCAAATAACATTTTATATATCTATTGAAAAAAAAAAAATTATTATAAATATTTACAATTTAAATATAAAATCTTCAAGTTGGCTAATTAAAAAAATAATTTTTAATTTTAAACTTTTTCTTTTATGTAATTTGATATTCTACCTTTTTAGTAAACTATAAAAAAAATGAGTAATTATATGAAAAATGAGTAATTTTTCGGAAAATAAATACAATTTGTCATTAATTTAAAACCGTGCATAAACCAGTCGAAAAATGCTGACTGCAACAACAGTTATTTTTTGAGATAACGCTTGCTGAGTAAACATATTAGATTATACCTATTCGTTATCAAAGTCTGTTTCATTGTAATTTTAAATGTAAAGAAAGAAAAGAGAGAAAGAGAGAGAGAGAGATTAAATCTGACTCTCTTTTGTCTTTAATTACTAATCCAAAATATAAATATTTATTTACAAAATTTGTAAGCGAAATGTGATAACGCTGTTAAATTAATTACTCAGGGCGGTATAAACAAGTGATAATTAATTATCAAAAAAAAAAAAAAAAATGATACAATGAAATAAATTGAATATTGCTATTTCATTAAAAAATTTAGATTTATCAATTTATGAATAAAGTACCATTGAATAATTTAATTTGAGAATTTATTTTTTTTTTAACATTTTCAGGTTTCGCACTTATCTATTAAAAGATACTGTTTGCAACTTTTTCTTTAGTTTGCTACTATTTGACTACTTTTTTCAACCTTGTGCTATTAAAAGCTATTTGATTTTAGAATTTTAAAAATATTTTCAAATTTATTTACAATATAACATTTTTTAAATTTATTTAATATACAGACGGGCAAAACATTCATGAATTAAATTTATTTTCTATTTATTCTTTTAATTTTCTAAAATTCTTATGTTTTTTTTTTCGTCCTAAACTCTTCGATATTTAAAAATTTTATTTTGCACTTACAAGAACAATTATCTAACAATTGAAAATTGATAATTAGACATTTAAAAATAAATATAAAAAGATTAAATAAAATTAACATAAATAATAACAATTAAATAAGCTATTATTTTCATTTGTAATTTTACTGTTACGATTTTACTAAAATTGTTATTAATAATAAAAAAACAATAACTAACTTTCACGTAATTATATAAAATAAAAAGTTAGTTTTGAAAAAGTTTAAGAACTAAATAATTAACTGATAAATAAATCAATTTTAAACTTTCTAAAATAAAAAGAGGACTAATTTGAGGGGGAAATATTTTTTTCACTGTTTTTTATTTATCATCTTTGGAGTGCGAAGCCTGCATTTTGTAAATTAATTTTTTTTTTTTAATGTAAATAATTTTTCATTTTAGTCGTAGTATTTCTGGGGACGAGGATGGCCCACTGTGTGACACGATAAGTCGTAAAACTTTGTTTTACTTGATTGCCACCTTGAATTCAGCTTTTCATCCTGACTATGATTTTTCCGATGCAAAGAGTCACGAATTCAGTAAAGAGCCAAGTTTACAATGGGTGATGAACGCTGTCGACAGCAATCTTAGCGCTACAGCAGGAGATCATTATCGTACTCTTCGTACTGCACTTTGGGCTGCTGTAGAAGATGAAATTTCAATGAAGGAGTGCGACATTTACAGGTAATAGAAACAAATCATTAAAATATTGCCAATTATTATAAATAATTAAGAGACATAAATTGTCCCTTGTTTTCAATTTTTTCACCTATTTTCGCAAATTTTTTTTTAACTATATATATTTATTTATTAACCTTTAGATGGTACAATAAAGCAGTGCCTTTGTTAACAAAATTTAAAAATTAAAAAAATTCCGGTACTCTAATGGTTAATTTTATAATTATTTCACTTATTTTTAAATTTAAATTACAATTAAAAAAAAAAAAATTTCGTTATTCAAATTTTACCTCTTAAAAAAATTGAAGTTATATTAAACTTTTTGTTAAAATTAACTTTTTTTATACTTTAAAAAAAGTTAAATTACAAAAAGTACTTAAAATTTAAGTTCATGAATTTTTTGAACTTGTAGATTAAAAAAAAAACAACTCTATATCTGTAAGTGCATTCAACTTTTTTCAGATATTGAAATTTTTCTAAAGAAATCGAAATATTTTAAAAGTTATTCAACTTTTGCGATAAGCACTTGAATATTTCAGAATAAATTCATTTCTTTTTTTTCAATAACACTTTATGTTTTTTAAAGAAAAACTGAAAATGTCCTCGAAAAATGCTGGCATTTTTTCAAAGAAATTTAAATAAATTTAGACGGACGTAGTTTATTTTAAAAGTTTGTTAATTTTTTTCCAATCGGTGTAAACAATTTTTAAACACTATGCTAAATAATAAATAAATTTTAAGAATTTCTAAAATAAAAAAAAAAATTGAAAAAAAACGAGAATTTTATAGAAAATTTAAAAAAATACAATGTTAAAGAACTGTAAAATCGAGCATATTAGAAATTTCTTAAAATAAAAGAAAAATTTGTAAAAGTAAATAAATAAATAAATTTAAAGAATTAGTAACTACAAAAAAAGGAGAATTTGAGGGGAAAAAATCAGTTTAAAAAACAAAAATTTTAGAAAATCGAAAATTAAAAAAAAATGTAGAAAACGGAAATTAAAAGAAAATTTAATATTTTTAAATATTGCAAAATAATAATAATAATACTAAAACAGAATTTGAGGAGAAAAATAGAAATTACGGAAAAAGAGAAATTCTGATAAAAATTTATATTTTCAATAAAATTCCTTACTAATTTCCGGTTTTACCGGTTAGCAGATATACTGTATTCAACTTTTTATATATATATATATAAAAAAACACATAAATATCATTGAAAGTATTGATTTTTTTAAAAAAGAAATTCAAATTTTTCCAAAATTACTAAATTTTTTATAAGAAATCAGACTGCATCAGACTATATTACCCATATCTCAAACAACGTCTTTGCACCTAATTTTTGAAAAATTAACGATTTTGTGTAATAATTTTAATTATAACTTTTCCGAAATTTAATTATTTTTAATAATTTTTATAATATTCTTCAAAAATTGAATAATCTGAAAGCATTTTTCGATTAAATAATTTCAATTTTTTTCACTAATTTCTAATAAATTATTTATCAACAGAAATCATCAAAAAATTTTAATTAAAAATTATTTGAAGTTCAATTAATTTGAAAAGTCAGAATTCTAAATCTTTGAAAATTCAATTACTTAAAAAAAAATTATTTGATTAATTATTTATGGTTCTTTTCATTTATTGGGTAAAATATGCAACATTTTTAAGAAGTGCAAAAGATATAAAAAATGTATTTTAATAAGATCATATAACTTTTGTCTAAATTTATTTTTTAATTTTTCATATTTTATCCAATAAACGAAAAAAACCATAAATTTTATGACTTTTTTTTATGGTTTTCACCATAAAAATCAAATTTTCAGGTATTGTTACTATGATTTTCGTAATCAATGCATTAAAATACATAAGAGTACGTAGTATAAAAAAAACAAAAATATTTTTAAGTAATTCAAAATGAAAATTTTTTTTTTAAATTCCAAAAATATTGAAAAAATCATTTGCCCACGATCGCACTAGGCTTTAAAAAATTTGAAAAAAATCATGAAATTCTAATTAAATTTAATTAAAATAAAAAATGGACTTTTTCGACTTTTTTGGAATGTAAATCTAAAACTAAAAAACGTAACTAAATACTAAACTAAAATAATTTTTTTTGCGCCTTAAAGTCGATCCGAGGCCTTTAATATTATAAAATAAATAAATTTCATTTGCAGTTACAATCCAGATTTAGCATCTGATCCATTTGGAGAGGATGGATGTTTGTGGTCCTTTAATTACTTTTTCTACAATAAAAAACTTAAGAGAATCGTATTCTTCACATGCAGAGCAATAAAGTAAGATTGAAAAAGAAAATATATGTTTAATTCTTAAATTTTACGAAGAAAATTTTATTAAAAAAAGAAAAAATTATTGTGCAGTCCAATCTATGCGCTGGATTCTGGCATTGGGAGCGACTTTGCAATGGATGAAGATGAGGAAGAATATTAGCTTTAAGCTACATACTTTGAACTTTAGAAGTTTCCATAATAATTATTTCAATATGAAAAATCTTTATATTATATATCTGTTCCCGAGGAACAGTTTCTATTCTCTATTTCTATACAAATGTGAAATTCTTTTCTCTCGACTAATTTCTATCATTTTCAAAATTATTGACTTGTGATAGCATTCTTTTATGCATTGATACTTATATATATAAAATTATATATATTGATACCTATATATACTTATATATATATAAAATATGTTAATTTTACGTGATCAACTTCCTGGTGAAATATCTATAATAAATAAATGTAAAATCCTCGAAATGAAATATCTATTCTTGCAATTATGCTGGAAGAAGCATGCTTAAAATCCTTGGGATTTGTTTTATTATTGAAAAGTAGTTTAAACAAAAAAAACAGAGTTCATATTTCATATTATCAACTTAAGTATAAAATTTATCCATTTCATTGTGTACGTTTTGAATTACTAATTTACGTATGTAAATGAGTTGCGTGTTATTATGTATTTGCTCATAATTGAAAAGTAGTTTAAGAAATATACAGAGGTTAATGGAAAATTAAGTTTTCAATTTAATAATTTAATTTGCAATTTCTATTTAATGTTTCATAATTAATAATTGTGTTTGACACAACGAGAAATCAATTCCTATAAGCGAATGATTGATATTTAAATATTCTTTTTAAAATAATTTTCATTGGAATTCGTATAACGTTTGTAGAAAATTGTTTTATTTTAATTTAATTAACAAACAGTTTACACACAACAGTGCAGTGCACTATAAAGTTTTTCTTTTCTTTCTTTTTTATGTAGAACGATTTAAATTACTCTAAATAATATGATGATTTTCAATTAAAAATTTTCCAGACCTCAATCATGATCATTTGATCATTCATCCAATAAAAAATGTATCACAAAACGATGTTTCACAGAATTTTGTATTAATGTGATTAGAAAACAAAATCCATGAAATTGTAACTTTAGGTTACGATGCACTTATGTAATTGTATTTAAAAACAGTTTGAAAAATACATCTTCTAATTGCTTATTCCCTATAAAGTCGTTTATTAGTTATAAGCTTATTGCACTAATGTATTGTAATATCAATATAAGTTTATTTTAAAATACTTTAATTCGATTTTTAAATCGAAATTTAAAATTATGTACTACATGAATATTTAGAGGAAGAAAAAATCAAATTGTAAGTAGACATGTAAAAGGCGTATATATTAGTGTTAAAAGGCTGTTTATCAGACATAAGTTTTTTTTTTTTAAAAAACGTCAGTATGGGAGGCAGAAATGTATAGAGAGAAAACAAATCAAAAGAGGATGTACATACTTTAATTTTGTATGGAAACATACAAATTAATCATTGAAATTTAATAATTCTCTTTTTAATAGACGACAATTTTCTCTTTTTTCATAACAAGACAAAAAAAATTTTCCTTTTTTTTTATATATATATAACTGTCACAGTCTCAAAATGTTAAAATTTTCACGTTGTCACAATTGTATAACAATGGCTGTGAACTATTTGAAATTTATCACAAATATTTATTTGAGAATTTTTAAATAATTAAATTCAAATAATAAATATATAAACATATCTGGAATTAATTTTTATTTTATCTCAATGTGATATAATTAAAAATAGTTGGAACAATATGCACATAAACATTAATTTGATCTCGAATGACACATATATAAATATAAATATATATATATATTATATAAAATTGCGTTAAAGTAGAATTTTCAAGAGAAACATTCGATGAACTAAAGAAATAAATTATACTATATTGTATAGAACTTCTATTTTTAATGAAAAAAAAAAGAAACACTTTACTTAAAAGTTATCTTACAAATTTATTGTGTTATACATCATTCTCTTTGTGCCCAATCTGACCGATTTTTTTAAAATCGATGCAGGTTAATGTAAGAATTAAAATATTAAACTAAAAAAAAAAATTAATCTAACTTACCTATTGCGTTGTTCAATTAAGTTTTTATTTATACATCATAACATCTGGCGACTGGTACATACACATATATGCATCACAAAATAATCGTTTTGCATGCTCTGGTAATTGACGATCGTCAGTTACTTTTGACAATTTATTAGCTCCTTCCTCACTCAACCAATGTGGAAAGTCGGGACAAGGAACCATCTCGGGAATATTGTAACCATTTTGTTCTCCTGAAACAAATTTTATTTATTATTGATTCAAATCATTATATTTCAGTCATCGCGGTCTAATTTTTAAAAAATTGATATTTTCAAAAATGATATCTAGGGAATCAAATAAAAAGAATTATTATAATACAGGCCTAGGATTATACGACTTTTTCTGACTATTTATCGAAAATACGTTTTTTTGGACTTATTTTAATAAGATGCGACTTTTTTTTACATTTTTTTTTTACAAAATTTTTAAACAAAATACGTATTTTTTAATATACAATACAGATCTTCAATTTAATTATTTAACAGATTTTTAACTAAAATTTTTCTATAAAATAAATATTTTTAATAATTTTAATGAAATTCTTCACAAATTTAATTATCTTAAACTATTTTTCAATTAAAAATTTTACAAAATTTAACAATTGTTTACAATTTTAAAAAAACTCAGTAAATAAAATTACCAAAGATTTTCCATTTAAAACCTTTTAAAATTTCCAATCTAAAACTTTCTGAAACTTACTTATTTTTAAAATTTTCCATCTAAAACTTTCTAAAATTTAATAATTTCAATTATCACTTTTTCAAAATTCAATTATGTTTAATGATTTTTGTAATACATAATCAAAATTATTCAAAAAGTATTTTTCAATTAAAAAATTTTAAAGTTCAATTTTTGTCTTTAATTTTTAATAAATTCTTCAGCAACAGAAATCATCAAAAAATTTCAATTCAAAATCACTTGAAGTTCAATTAATTTCAAATATTTCAATTTAAAATCTTCTAAAATTTAATTATATCTAAAAATGTCAACTGTAACTTTTTCAAAATTAAATAATTTTAAATGATTTTTATAATATTCTTTGAAAATTAAATAATATGAAAGCATTTATAATTAAAAAGAAAGAAATCACAAAAAATTTCAATTAAAATTATTTGAATTCAATTCTTTTCAAAAATCTCAATTTAATACCTTCTAAAATTTAATTATTTCTAAAAATGTCAATTGTAACTCTTCCAAAATTTAATAATTTTAAATTATTTTTATAATATTCTTCAAAAATTCATTTATTTAAAAGCATTTTTTAATTAAAAATCACTTAAAGTTGAATTAATTTGGATAATCTGAATTGTAAATCTTTGAAAATTCAATTATTTAAAAAAAATAAAATATTATATGATAAATTATTTTAAATTTTGTAAAATTTAATTACTGTCTGAAATTAATTAAAATCTTTTGAAATTCAATAATTTCTAAAAAAATTTAACTATAACTCTTTCAAAATTAAATTATTTTTAATAATTTTAATATTTCTTTAAAAATTCAATTATGTATTGAAAAAAGTTTCGAATAAAAATTCTAAAATTGAATTGTTTTCAGAAATTTGTCCTACTTAATTAAAATTGAGGAATTAATAAAATGGATTTAATATGGGGCATTCCATGGGAGATTTTCATTGAAAATTTTTTTTTCCCCGAAACATTTTTTTTCTTTGTTGACGTTAAATTTCAAAAAATCATAACTTTCTTCATTTTCATCAAATAAAAAAATAAAAAAAATACGTATTTCCTTATTTTTCATATAGATTTCGAAAAAAAATGTTTCGGGGAAAAACAAATTTTCAATGAAAATCTCCCGTGGAATGCCCCATATGAATTTAATTAAAATAAAAAAATAGACTTCTTCGACTTTTTTTTGAAATGAAATCGACTTTTTTTAGCGCCTTAAAGTCGATTCGAGGCCTGATAATTAAAAAAAAAATTTCTTAAATTCATTTTTATATTTTCGTTAGAAAAAGATGTTGAATTTTTTGATTAGCTAGTTTATATTTAATCGTAATTCGTAAATGAGAGATATATAATTACCCTTTCGATCGGCCATGGAATCAAAGAAGCACCATGGAGCTTCTGAACCAGGTCCACATTTTACAAACGAAACGTAATGTGAAGTTTCAATACAAACAACGGCAAATAATTCCAGATATAATCGAGGCACAGGACAATGTTCTTGAAGAGCTGTGTAATCCATTGGAACTGTAAGTTCTTTTGGTTTGTGATTTATTCTCCTTTCGTGTCGATGAGCCTAAAAAAAAAATAAATCAACTTTATTGAAAATAAATAAAAATTTTGAAAAAGATAAAACAAAACATATTTTTTATTGTAAGCGACATTACAAAAAATACAAAGCAAAATTTAATAATTTTTTATTTTTACCGTTTCCAAACATTCGGTGCAAAATGCTATACTCTCGAGACCCTCTCCACATTCACCGTAACATTGTTTGCACTCGTAAACTGCCAATTTTGAACAAACTGTACATTGTCTAGGAGCTGAAATAAAAGTGAGGATAAGAAAAAAATTTATTTATTCTAAGAATTTTTTTTTTTGAATAATAATTTAGTCTTAGAAAAAAGGCCTTACAATCTTCTATTATATCGGTCACGTCCAACAGTAACGTGGGTTGGATTTTTGGATACATTTTAAAAGATTTTCCAAAACGAGGCATTTGTATGATCAGACATGAAGGAACTTCTTTCAGTCTTATATTACTAGTTAAAAAACTTTGTTCAAGTAATTGTTGCACTGTTGGCAAACTAAGTTGTTCGTCTTTTTCCACAAAAAGTTGATAGTGATATGCCTCTTGTCCGGAACTTAATTTTAGAAAAGGCTCTGCATTTAAGATTTGAGCCACTAAAGATGTTAAAAATTCTTCTGGATCTAAAAGAAAATTAAATGAACTATATTGGGAAAAATTAGAGAAATGTCAGTTCAGTTTTTTTTTTACCTATTTAAAATTTTGTGACCTATTTCATCTATTTTGAAAATTTATTACCGTTTTTACCTTTGTTTCTTAATATTTAAAAAATAATTAAATTGAGGGACATTGTTTAGGAATGTTAAAAAATAATTTATTGACCATTCAATTGACCCAAGTTTTAATTTATTAAAATTTTTCATTGATTTAAAAAGTATTTATGCCAAATTTCAATAAATAAATTCAAAAATATTTTATTCAATAAATTTGAATTTAAATTAGTTGAAGCATTTATTGATTAGAATTTTAATCAATCTAAATTTAAATTAATTTTAATTCTAATCATTCATTAATTCTATCAATCTAAAAATTCAATTTATCCAAATTTAAATCTGTTCAAATTTTCATTTAGCAAAATTTCAATTTAATTTAAAGTTATTCGATTCAAAATTTAATTGATCCAAATTTTATTTTAAATTTCAAGTGATCCAACTTTTAATTAATTCTAATTTTTATTAGTAAAAAAAAATTTATTAATTAAAATTTTAATGAAATACAAATTTTACCTTTCTCTTCGCTGGTAAGCCCTGAAATTGATGATAATTTTTCAAGTAATGTTCTTAATTTCATAACACGATCAGCTCTTACGTAAAAATGTTTTCTCAATGGATTTACAATTTCCTCACGAAGCACTCTTTGAACTTCTTCATATTGAACGCAATCTTTATCATTTCGCGGTCTAAAATATTTTAAAAATTAAAAAAAAAACTCTTAGCTACATTCTTAATTTAATTTAATAAATAATTAATATAATTAAAATTTGGTTATTCAAATTATTACCTGAATAAAAGATTATCAAAAACACTGGTAAATGTAAACATGCTAAAAAGTGTTGCATCCAAATAACATGAATTGTGATGGCCTTGAATACCTCGATTTTTACCACAAATTTTCTCCAAATCACCTTTGACTGAAATTGGACGCACCATTCCAACAACTACAGAGCTTTCCATATTTCCAAAATTATCAATATTTATTCTTGATTTTTGACTATCGACCTTTTTAAAAATGATAAAATAATTTTTTTTTTTAATTAAATGAAACATTAAATTGTATGATTTTTAAGTTCAAAAAAAAAGCAACTCACAGGAATATCGAATTGATGACATTTTTTAATATCTGTAAAAAAGGCTCTTTGCGGTCGACACTCAAAATATCTTTCATCTTTGTAAATTCCATCTGTTCCTAAATGATGATCATCATCCTAAAATTTTTATAAAAAATCTTGATAGTAAAAATTTCAATATTTATAAAAAATAAATTTTCAAAAACTTTTTAAAATTTTCTTTAAAATTAAAAACTGTCTTTTTTTAAATAATAGCAACAAAAATGTTTTATTTTTTACCAATTCAACAGCTGCCATGGTTTTTCCAGGAGGAAGACCTCGTGGCGTGCCAATCCATCTAACAACACCAGAACGTGTTTCTTTATCCAAAAGCACTTTAACATTCGATCCAATGCACAAATTTCCCGTATCCGAAACTAATCCATGTTTATTGTTTTCTTCTATTTCAGTTTCATCATCTATAGAAAAAAAAAATATATATATTAAACATTTTTTTCTACTCTCCAGTGGCAATAGAAAACTTTTTTTTCTCTCTACTCTTCAGTGTCAATAGAAAAAAAAAAAAAAAAAACAATAAAAGTGGAACTAATTTTGAAAAAAAATATTATTTCAAAAGGGAATTTCCTTTTATTTTTTTGAATTTCGATAATTACATACTTTTTTCATCACTTTGTAACCAATTATCATCGTCATCATCATCGTCATTGTTATTTACATTATTAAAATCAGAATCCGTATCACTATTCCAATTTCTTTGCAAAAGAAAAAGGGGTATATCTTGAACAATTGCCGCCATTTCATAACAAAATTTACAATAGATGAAAGATTCTTCGCGGCGGTATAACAGTCTACGAGACTAAGGACGGAATACGCGACTGTATCTAAATTTAAACGCTTTTCGTTATTTTTATCTAACTCTTTACGGTATGCGGAAGACCGGTCAAGAACAAACTTGCATTATTTACAATATGCAAATTAACCATGAAAAACTTCTAAATAACCATTAAATGTAAATAATATCAATATAAAAATAATTTAATAATAAAAATAGTAAAAAAATAGTAAAATTAATAAATAAAACATGAAAATAAAATAGAATTAAAAAATAAATAATATAAAATTAATAATTTCAAAAAATGTATAAAAACTATTGAATAAATAAATAAATAAATAAAAATTTTATATAGAATAATTTGTATATTTCTTGTTAAAAATTATTGAAATAATGGAAAAATAATTACCAAAATGTAATAAATTAAAATCCTCAGAATTTCTGCTTCCTTTTCCATTATCACTTGTAGACATTTTCCCTAAGGACTGCATTGTATTAGCCAAGGATACATCTTTGGAAAAAGATATAAGTTCTCGATTATTGTTAGCGCTATCATCAAATCCATATTTATCGAAAAATGAATCATTTGTTTCTTGTCTAATTTTCATGCAATCATTGTTACGGCTGTTGCCACTGTTGTGATAATCTCGTTTTGACATGACAATGTCATTATGCAAATAACCTATTAAATAAAAAATAAAATGATACTCAGTATATAAATATAGAAAACTGAATTTTATTAAAATAAAAAAAAAAAACTAAAAATATTTTACAAATAATAAATGTTGGATTAAACCATTATATTTCGATCAAAGTTATTGTAGTCTAATTTAAAAAAAAAATTGAAACTATCAAAAATAATTTTATATGATATTCTAGGGAACGAAATAAGAATTATGTTTTTCTTCATCAAAAATCTAAATTGCTGAAAAAAATTTTTTCAACTGTTTAAATATATTGTAAACATAATTTTGAAGATTTCCTCCAAGTTTTATTAACAAAAAAAAAAAAAAAATTTGTTATTTTTATTTGTTTATTTATCTCCTTATACACGGGCATCACGAAGCTGAAGTACGCAACGTTTATGATAAACGATTTTTTTAAAAAAAATAATTTTTTAAAATGAAAAATTCTATAATTTTTTGCCTACAAAATTTTTTTTTTTTTATAATTTGTTGATTAATGAAAACTACAAAAAATATTTTTTAGGCAAAAAATTATAGAATTTTTCATTTTAAAAAAATTATTACTTTAAAAATCGTTTATCATAAACGTTGCGTACTTCAGCTTCGTCCGGGCATCGCCCTTTATTGCAAAATAAATAGAATTAACATAAAACAAATCAACCTTAGAACAAATTTATTCACACAAAAATTCTATTAATTTATGTTTAAATAAATATTATTCAAAGGTTAAAAAAATCAATTTATTTTAATTATATGTAAAAGAAAATATAAAATATTTCTTTGTTTGTATAATTAAGAAAAATTTTTATTTAGTACTCCAGAGTAAAATAATAAAAGATAAAAAAATACAAAAATATTATTTAATAATTTTTATTGAATTCGGAGAAATACATGGATTTTCGTTTTTTTTTTTTTTTAAATAGCCTTTTCACTTTTTTAAAGTTTAATCAATTTTTTCTCGTTGCCAGTGACAATAAAAATAAAAACATTTGAGTTACATTGTAGGCAAAATATTAAACTATTATTGAAAATAAGAACCAAATTAAAATAATTTACTATAAAAATTTAACATAAAGAAGAATTGCGCTTTCCATATTTACCTCTGATGTTTAATAATTCAAAATTTCTTGACACTTTTTTCATTTTTATTTTAAATATATATATATACAATAAGTATTAAGTTCAATGTATGCAATTTTTTTTATTTTTTCAAACTTTGCAATTTACAATATTTTCGTTAAACGAAAAATTAAAAAAAAAATTCCACTTTTGCAAAATTTAAATCGAACTGATATCTATCTACACGTACCAAAAGTTTCGCGTTGGTTTTTAGTTTATTTTAAGAGGTAAAAAATATTAAAATTTTTTTTTCTTTTATTTTCTTTTCATTTATTTTATTATTTTATTTATTTTTTATTTATTTTTCTAAATAAAATATAAAATAAAATAAAAAATAAAATAAAACTTCTTTTATTTTCAGGTTAATACATGTAATTTGTTTGAAGTTAACGTTAGTTCATCATGTTGTCTAACTTCAGTTTTGAAATATTACATGCATTAAACTAAAATTAAAAGTAAATAATCCTCATGAGGAAGCATTGTAATACAAAAAAAATACAATTTCGTTTCGATTTAAATATTGTGATGGTGGCAAATTTTTTTATTTTTCTTTAACGGAGATATTAAGTTTTAAATTTAGCAAAAAATACAGAAATTTCGTATTTTGAACTTATTATTTCTTTTTTATATTTAAAGTGAAAATAAATAAACTGTCAAGAAATTTTGTGAGTTCTTTTCATTTACTTACTTCATATTATTTAAGACAAAATTTGTTTTAATTAATGTGCCTAAAGTTCTTAACGTTCAATTGAATAAAAAATTTGTTCACTACTTTTTTAACATCAAATTTCATTATAAAATATTGCTTTCTATATCCTACAATAAATTAATAATTTATTAAATATTTAATGTACTTTCTTATTTTTCATTGCATGCTGTTTATTAATTTAAAAAAAAAAAATTATTTTGATTGAATGTTCAAAATTTCGAGCACATAATTACTCCATTTAAAAAAAAAATATTTGTCATTTATTTAATTCCCTATAGATATCATACAGAATAAATTTTGAAAGTATCAATTTTTTTTAAATTAGTCGGCGAAGACTTTGAAATATAATGATCTGATCAGGTTGTAAAATAATTTTTCAAAAAATTACTTAAAAAATATACCATTAGTCTAATTAGTCATTTTCTTTAAAAAAAAATTTACAATAAAAATATATTTAATTGATCAAATATTAAGAATTCATTACCTTTTTCAATACTTCTTGTTGTGTCTAAAGTTTCTTGATTACAAGGTGTAATACTGTTTACTGCTGCAAATTTAACACTAAATCCATTGAGTAAATCTCTACTTTCCTGAAAAAAAATTTCACAATTTTCAAAATATATTTAAAAAATACAATAAATTATATCCTTAATCTAAAAATTAAATTATATCAAATAAATAAAATATTTAACTTTACCAGACTTCGAAGCGTAGTAAGAGACTAAGAAAAGTATGAAAAAGTATCATTTTTTAAAAAAAAAGTATTCTCAAAATTGCAAAAAAAAGTGGCATCTTTAAAATGAAGTAAAATTAGTTTTCTAAGTTTGACGTTAAAGTGTAAATATTCTCTTGTTTAAAAAAAATTGAAAGAAAAAATTCTGAGGAATAAAATTAACATCATTTTTCTTCTGATTATTTAAAAAAAAAAACTTTCTATTGTTAAATTTCGATTATCTTTTTGTTTTTGGCACAACGGTAGGAGCGTTTATATTATTCCTTAATAATGATTTTTCACATAAATTTTTATTTAACAAAATAGCATTTAACACAAAATTTCTTCTAAACGAATGTTTACTTAAAGGAATTTTCAAAGTACAGAATTTTTATTAAAATTTCTCTTTACCCAACTGTTTCTTGAAAAGAATTCTAATTTAAATTATTTTCAATTTATTAGAATTCTCATTCAGTAGTATTTTAAGTAATTCGAAGTTTTAAATCCTAGAACTTGGAATTGGAAGCTTACATAAAATATTTAGTATTGTAAAACAACAATTTTAATTAAAAAAATCAATTATTTCTAAAAATCTTAACTCGAACTCTTTCAAAATTCAATTATTTCTAAAATTTCTATCTAAAATTCTTTGCTAAATAAATAATTTCCAATAAATTTTATTTAATTATTAAAAAATTCAATTAAATAAAACATTTTTTAATTAAAAATTCTGTAAAATCTAATTACTGTTTGAAATTTTGTTAATAATTTTCAGAAATTCTAATTTACTAATTTTTTTAATTGAACATCTCCTAAAATTCAATTATTAAAAATTTTTATTAAAATTTTTTGTTGAAATAATTATTTCTAATAACTTTAATCAAGATCATGTCATTTCAATTATTTAAAAAAATTTTCAATTCAAAATACTTTAAAATTCAATTATTGTCTGAATTTCGGTTAAATTAGATGAGCCAAAATTTCTGAACGTTCAAATGAACAAAATATTTTTTTTCAATCTATAAATTATTAAAAATTATAAGGTTAATGTAAAATGAAACAGTAAATTAAAGAAATATTAAATTAATAACTTCTTTTTAGATATTTAAATCAATATATTTTGTAATAAAGTTCATACTTAAAGAAGTTACAAAAAAAAATGTTGTTCATTTGAACGTTCAAAACTTTTGGCCCATTAAATTAGAATTATTAAAAAAAAAAAAAAAAAAAAAACAGTTGGGTAAAGAGAAATTTTGTAAAATAAAAATTCTATTAAAAAATATTTGCCAAATTAAAAATTCTATTGAGTAAAATGTCGTTTAAAAAGAAACTATGTTAAATGCTATATTGAAAATTGAAAATTTGTGTAAAAAATAATTATATAAAGCAGTAGTTTACGCGACCAATAATAAATCGCTTGGCGAGCTTTTAGGAATCAAACAAATTCGCTAAAATTTAAAATTCTTGAATTCGGTCATATTTTTAAAATTATTTTTTGAAGAAAGTAGCATTTAGTGGTTTTTGGTCAAAATTACTAGTAAAAAAAGTAGCCTTGTCGAAAAAAATATCAAAAAAGTAAAAAAGTATGTCACTTCGAAGCCTTCTTACCATTCAATAATTAAATTAAGAAAATAAAATTTCATCAATTTACCAATGATTCAAGACCAAAATAAACTCCATTTCCTGATTCAGGTACCGGTCCAATAAAATTGACAGCCATTAATTCGACAGTTGAACTTCCATTTGGTGTATACCAAACTTTATCATTTTCACGAATATTTTCAATATCTTCGCACAATTGTTTATTATTTGCTATTTTCACTCTTTCATTATAATCAGAAACTGCAGCTAAATAATGCCATATTTTTTTCGATACAATAATAAGATCATGAATATGACATTTCCATTCAGTATTGGACCAAATACGTTCAGGTGGATCTTTAATTCGAATTCGAATTATATCCAATTCTTTGCCAACTGATTCAACGAGCATTCCTAATTTTAATGTACTAACATTAACATCACATTTTCCTGATATTCTATTTAAAATTGTATCATTTTTCGCAACATACTGATGTTGTATCTTTAAATGTTCCTGATAAATCATTTTGCTGCTACTACTACTACTCCAATCGTCCATTGCTCGAATTTAAATAAAATTTTTTTATCGTTTTTAAAATAAAACCAATTTATTTATTTTTAGTAATTACGTAAAAGTCAATTCATTTCTATGTAAAAATTTTTTTATTATCATATACAAATACTTTATAACCACAAAACACTTTTTGAATATAGGAGTTTTTAAAATTACATTCCACAAAAAAACACGTCCATCAAGGACGTGTTAATATTTTTCACAATATCACATTATTATTGTTTAATGCAGAATTAAATTTCAATTTAATTATAAAATTTGTTTTTAAATAATAATTAAATAACTATGACATTGAATAAATTACATTTTCATTTTTCTATATTGCTTGATTGTTGACAGTGTATTGTGTATTTTCACTAAGGGAAAATATTATACTTGAAAGAAACGACCAATAATAATCGTGGGATCATGGGACAGGACCAATAGAAATTCAGAAAAATCAGCTGATCAGGTGACAACAATAATTGTGTTTGTATACCGTATGCATTAATGTCAAACAATTTTTTTTTCTTTGAATAGTTTGATAAGATAAGTTGAATAAATAATAATGTTGTATAATGTATTTTTTAAATAATGTTTAAATTTTCTTACATTATACTTGAAAGTGTTTAAATAAACTATATTAGTGAATAGAAAATAAAACTTTCCACGCCCATTTGAGAACCTAACCTTATAAATTGTATGCGGTTGACTCATTTTATAAAATTTTTTTACACACGTACCTCGCTTATTTGTAGATGAGAAAAAATATACGTGGCATTACTCGATAAATAGTTCTCTTCTGGCATACACTTTTCACAAAAAGGTAAGTTACTGGACATTTTTCCAAATTTTGCCATTGTATGTATAATTGCATGTTTACTATTTTTCAACATTTTAGATGAATATTAAAAAAAATAAATTAATTTTGTCCTAGATTTTATTATTTATCTTAGATAATCTTATATAGTTCTATAATGTTTATTATATTCAATTATTTATAATTATTTAATTTATTTAAACTTCTTAAAATTATGTATATATTTCATTATTCATTATGCAATTTTACAATTTCGTTTTAAATATTTTATTTTTCCAAGATGTGTTTATGGGGAAATTTTGTTTTTAGGAGTAATTCGAAAATTGAACATTCTTATAATTTTGTTTTGAACAATAAATAAAAAAATAATTTATTTTGAACGTAAATTAAAAGAATTTTAAATAAAAAAATCAGGGGTATTTATATTTTTTGTCAAATTAAAAGCATAATATTTATTTAAAAAAAAAAATTACAAATTATTTTCTGAATTGAATTAATTTAAAAATTTAATTGGTTTTTTAATTTAAATATTTGTATTAAATTGTTTTCTAAATTCATTTTTTGTTGTTTGATTTAAAAAAAAAGTTTTAGTATAGCAATATTATTGAATATGAAAATAATTGAATTTACAAAAAAATGTAATTAAATAATATATTAACGTATAAAGTAATTGAATTGTACAATAATAAAATTTAAGTATTGAACATTTTTAAAACAATTGGAATTTTAATATAGGTAATTCAATTTAAATAAAATATAAAATTTTAGAAAAATTATTTTTTAAATGAACAAATTAAAAATAAAAGAAAGGGAAAAAGGTAATTTTTTAAATAATTTGTTTTGATTTTTAATAAAATTAATAGTTATCGTGTAAATTAAGGACGTTTATATCTGGGAATGCAGATTTTCGGAAAATAATATTTAATTGAATTAAAAAAAAAAATATTATTATTAATAATATCCGCTGGAAGAAATGATACCAATTTTCAAGAAAAAAAAAATTTAAAACTTTACAAAAATGATTTACTTATACATTTTGCATAATATGTTCAAAATTTTTTTCATATCGCTTCCTTAAAATTTTGTAAAAATGATCCGATTTAAATGAATGATTCTTTATTTTCTTAAGAAAATATTTCTTAAGATCGTCACTATTTGAATTTTTAAACAAGTAAACCGTTTTTTAATTATTATTATTATTATTTGTTTAATATAAAAAATTATTTTAAAACAAATAATCATGTTTAAAATCCAGTGTACTCATTTAAAAATCCCAGCAGTGACGATATTAAGAAATAATTTCTGATGAAAATAAGCTATTATTCATTTAAATCGAATAATTTTTACAAAATTTTAAAGAAGCGATATGAAGAAAATTTTGAAAATATACAAAATGATTAAATAAATAATTTTTTTTAGATATTTAATTTTTTTCTTGAAAATTGGTATCTATATTCTTCCAGCGGATATTATTAATAATATAATATATTATTTTTTTAAACGCCAATTAAATATTTTTGTTGAAATATAAAAAATTTTTGATAATAATATTTTGTTTTTAATTTGAAATTATTAATATAAATATAAAGCTTATGTCCAATTAGTAATAATTGTATAATTTATGTTTAAAATGAAAGTTTTTTTTTTTGTTATTTTGATCAAAATAAAATTGTGAGAATCAATTATTATTATTATGTAATTAATATTTGTATTAATATTTTTGTAAATTAAAAAATAAAATTTTATTTAGGTACTTTAATTTATTTTTTAAAATAAAATTTCGGTAACGTTACATTTTTTCTAATACGTTTTAAATGAATTATTTTTTTTACAGTGCTTCTTCACATTATGCATGAGAAGAAAAAGAAATTAAGTCCCATGAAAGCTTTAATTCTTGTTGGGGGTTATGGAACGAGACTTCGTCCATTAACTCTCAGTCGTCCAAAACCACTAATTGAATTTGCAAATAAACCAATGTTGCTTCATCAAATTGAAGCTTTGGTAAGTTTGTAATTAATATCTTATCAATTAATATTTTAAAATTAAAATTTGTTATTAATATATGATGTATAAAAATCAAATTTTTGAGTATTGTCACTATGATTTTCGTAACCAGCGCATCAAAATACATAAAAGTACGTATTATAAAAAAAAACCAAAAATATTTTTAAAATATTCAAAATTCAAAAATTTTTGAAAAATTCCGAAAATATTATAAAAATCGTTTGCCCATTATCAAGGTAGGCTTAAAAGTTTCGTAAAAAGTAGTTTTTTTGAAAAAATTTTGAAAAAAATCAATCAGTACGTCAAATGAGAAAAATGACTTTTTATCATTAAAACTCAAAAATTTGATAGTAATATCGTTTAAAAAAAATTTCGGATTTTTTTTTGAAAAGTACGTTTAAAAACACACATTTTGAAAAAAAAGACTTTTAAAATTGATTTTGCGTGGAATACATCATATACATTACATCAAACTATTGTAATCACTATTAATATTATTTTATTTAATTGATATAAATTGAATTATTAATTAATTTTATTTAATACGTAGAAGTAAATAATTCAAGAACACTGATTTTATTTATTAAAATTAATTTTCAGGTTGAAATAAATGTAACTGAAGTTATTTTGGCAGTATCATATCGTGCTGAACAAATGGAAAAGGATTTGAGACAAGAAGCTGTAAAATTAGGTGTTAATTTAATATTCTCTCATGAGACTGAACCTTTGGGTACAGCTGGACCATTGGCACTTGCTGCACAGCATTTGCGATCTAATGACGAACCATTTTTCGTACTCAATTCAGATATTATTTGTGATTTTCCATTTAAAGAACTTTTGGAATTTCACAAAAATCATGGACACGAGGGAACAATTGTTGTCACTAAAGTTGAGGAACCTTCGAAATATGGTGTTGTTTTATATGATGACAAAGGAAAAATTGACAGTTTCATAGAGAAACCACAAGAATTTATTTCAAATAAAATAAATGCAGGTGAGAATTTAAATAACGTGATTTTTGCTTAAAAAACTTTCGACAACTTTGAATTTTATTGATTTTATATGAATAATATTTTGATAGTGAAAATTTTTTTTTTAAATTCTTGTATTTTTCAAAAATAATATTTTGATTTTTGAAAAAATTAAATCTTATTATTGAATTGTGCTAGATTTTTAATCTACTTTTCACGTTAAAAATTAAAAAAAAAATACAAAAATTCCAGAACAAACAATTGGAATAATATATTTAAGAACTGATTTTTTTTATAAAAATTAATTTTAAAAAATAAAAAGTTATATTTATTTAAACAAAAACTAGGCGAGCACAAAAATCTCCTCAACAATATTTTTTTTTTCATTTTTTTCAAATTTATCATATTCAAAAAAATTTAATTAATAAATACTTTATATTAACAATTTAAAAATTAAATTCTGGTAAAATTAAATTATTTTGTATTTTAAATATTTAAATATTTATTTAATTCCAAAAATTACACGCGATAATTAAATTTATAAAATAATTTAATTTAAAAAACTAAAAAATTAATGTTTATTTCGAGGGTATCAATTTTCTCCTTAACAATATTCAGTATTTAAAATTGTAATATAATTTAAAAAATTTAAAAAAAAAACAAAAAATTTGTTAATAATTTTTAAAGTAAAACTCTAAATTCTCGAAAAATTAAAATTTGAATTTCTCTCACAATTTCTATTATTTTTCATTGCTGATTTTGTTAATTTTTTTTTTCATGATTCTGAATAATCAATCGTAAAAAAAAATTGTAAAATAGTTAAAAATTACTTTTATTAATTTTTCATGTTGGAATATAATTTAAGGTTCTGAAAAAATGTGAAAAAAAGTTGTTACACCCAATCAAGGTCAATTTTTATTGGTCTAAATGTTAATGATGATTCTTTTAAAATTCTTCTTTTTCGCCATTTTTATTATTTTTCATTGTCAAATTTTTTATACGCTTTTTTTTCGTGATTCTAAACAATCAATCGTATGGATTTTGAAATTTTTTCAAAAAATAAATAAATAAAATGGTTAAAGTCAAATTTTAAAAAAATTTTAACAATATATAATAATTTTAGATCCTGAATAATTAGAAAAAAAATTGACACACTACAACAATATTAATTTTAATAAAATTAAAGTTCTTGAGGTACTGTAAAAATTTCTTCAATTAATTTTGATAGGTTAAAATTTCACTGGTCTCTTTTAATTAAGATTTCTTCAGAAACAAAAATTTTTGCTCCATTTTATTATTTTAGAAAAAAATTTCTTGAAAATCCATTCATTAACAAAATTATCAAAAATTACAATTTTTTAAAATTTCTACTGTAATTTTAAAGAATAAATAATGTATAAAAGATCGTTTTATCTTTAATAATATTCTTGTATTTATTCTTTTTTTTTTTACAGGTATTTATATTTTCAATCCAAGTGTTTTGAAAAGAATAGAACTTCGTCCTATGAGCATAGAAAAAGAAGTCTTTCCGGGTATGGCAAACGATAATGAATTATATGCCATGGATTTGCCTGGATTCTGGATGGATGTTGGTCAACCAAAAGATTTTCTCAAAGGTACATATTTCTTGAATAAAAATTTCAAAAAAATGCTGATATTTTTCAAAATATTAAAATAGATTTCAATTTTAAAACGTTTCTTTGAAATAAATAAATTATTTATACTGTGAAAAAAGTTTATATCTAAATTTGAATTATTGAAAATTTGTTCATTAATTGAAATTTGTATAAATTTTCACTAATTTTTTTTTTTAGTAAAATATTACTAACAAGTAGTAGAAATTTTTCCTAATTATCTATATTATATTATATATTAAATTTAAATTATTTATTATAATTAAATTGTATTTCAATAGGAATGGGTATGTATCTCACATCGTTGAGACAAAAGACACCTGAAAAATTATATTCCGGTCCAGGAGTTATTGGAAACGTTTTAGTTGATCCAACAGCAACAATTGGAAAAGATTGTCGAATTGGTCCAAATGTGACTATTGGTCCAGGTGTTACAATTGCTGATGGATGTTGTGTAAAGAAAACAACTATTCTTCAATCGGCAACAGTAAAAGAACACACATGGCTTGATGGGTGAGTGTTTATATTTAAAAATATAAAATATTTATTTTCAAAGATAATTTAAAACTCAATAATTTTACTTTTCAACAAAAGTAACATTTTTTTTTTATAAAATCTTTTTGAAATTAAATTTTTTTTTCACTCTAATCTCATTAATTATAATTAAAATAAATTATTTCGTAAGGATCAATCTATTATATATCATCTACAGTCGTTGTGGCCTATTTTTAGAAAAATCTTATAATTCATAATAATAATTATTGAGACCCGTACAATTCATTTTTGACAATTATTTGATTATTTTTTTTTTAGTCAACAATTTTCTATAAATTCTTTTTTCAGACAATTTTTTTAAAAAATTACTTTATAAAACAGTAATTATTATTATTATTATTTAATTTATATTCATTGATTAGGGTCAGCCGGGGTAAATCCGAACGGGGGGTAAATCCGAACGCTAATTATTTCAGCTTAATTAAAATTTTTAAAAATAAGTTCGATATGAGAATTTTTACCTCAGATCCTCTTGAAGAGATTCTAAGTATTATCCCATTTTTCGTTTGTTAATTAGCAACAGCATAAACAAAGATAACGAGTATTGCAAAAAAGATTGAAAATCAAAGATGACACTCTTTCAGTATTTTGTCTCGTATTTGAAGAAAAAGAAGCTAAAAATTTATTTTATTATTTATAATTGTTTGTTATGAATACTAGAACAGAAACTATTTTTCATTTTTGCCTTCTGTAAAATTTTATTAATAATATCAGACCGTTCGTATTTACCCAGGAAAATTGGAAAACCGGGGTAAATCCGAACGGTATTTTCAATAATTTTTTTTTACATCAGAGCCACACAAAATTGTTTTTATTTCATTACACTATTATTTTAACATTATAAAAGTACATAGAAAAAAGTTTTTCTTTCTATACGTATCCTCGTTAGTAATTAATAAGCAGAAACTTAATCTCTGTTCTCTCGAAGGAGTGTTTCAATTTTTTTGCCAAATGGTTTGTTGAAAAAAGTTTTTCAGGATCTTAATAAAATTTGGTATTCTACGGTTTTTGGGGTCGCTAATTACCAATTTGAAGTCAGTTTTTCAAAATTCAAAATGGCGGACGAGAATTAAAAAATTCATTGGATTCGCTCGAAAATTGTTACTCGGGGGGTTTCAGTGTCGCTGATTACGAATTTGGAGTTAGCAAATTTGATCATTTTTAAAAATAAGTTTTAGGAAAGTCCGCCATTTTGAATTTAAAAAATTTGACTTTTATTTTTGTATTTACATTCAATCACTCCAAAATACTTTCTGTAGCAAGTTTTGCAAAAATCCGTTATGATTTGATAAAGTTATTGAAGGTTTTAATTGTGTAATGCATTTTAATTTTTAACCTGTTTGATTTTTGTATTTATATATGATGCATTATTACATAATAGGTTTATTATCGTAGTTTTTTTGAGTTTTTATATAAGTTTAACAATTGCAATACTTTAAATTTATTTTCCCTAAGATTTTTCTGAAATACAGTGGCGTTCGTATTTACCCCCATATTTTAGGAAAGTTGCAAAGTATCGAGGTAAATACGAACGCTAAGTTTCCTGCGATTGTAATTTATCAAAAAATTTTGCTACCCCATAAAATTGTTCTATGGAAGTAAAGTAACAACTTCATGCACCAGAATACCGGAAGTATTTTTTTTTTAAAGAAAAAACTTATGTTATTGTTGAAACTTACGAAAAGCGTTCGGATTTACCCCGGTTGACCCTACTGTATGAAAAAAAAATCAAAATATCAGGAGAAAATTAATTTTTAAACTTATATGTGAATTGTTAAAATTTAAGAGTTTTTAAATAAATTTTTCAAAAAAAAAATTTGTATTTTGACTTTTTCTTCAATTTTCGATATAAATACTATCTTTTTAATTTTTAATTTAATAATTGCAGTTGCATCATTGGATGGAGAAGCGTTGTTGGCCGATGGGTGAGAATGGAAGGGACAACTGTATTGGGTGAGGATGTTATTGTGAAAGATGAATTATATATAAACGGTGGTCAGGTATTACCACATAAAAGTATCGCTGCCTCGGTTCAAGAACCGCAAATTATAATGTGAAATAATTAGCACAATAACAGGTACACTTTATTGACTGATATTTCTTAATTAATTATTATAAATTTGTAAATATTTTGCAATACTTTACTTTATATATCCATATAAAAATTTATAAAAAAATATATAATATATATTAATAACGATAAAAATTAATTTTTAAACAATAATAACGATGAAATTAATTTAAAAAAATAATTCTATTTCTCTATTATTATTATTATTGTACAATTGTTTATTTAATAAAGGAAAAAAATAAAAATTAATTTTTAATTTCAATTAAATTAAATAAAATTAAAATAACAAAATCATTTTCACAAATTCATTGTCATATTATTCGGGTCTTAAAAATCGATCTATATTTTCTTTTTTGCAATTGTATTCCGATGGACAATGACCTGCTGTACCGTATTCTATAGCTTTACGAAAATCTGTCATTTTTTTCTCATATTTTTCGTCCAATTTCGATGTTCTGAAATTAAATAAAAAAAAAAAAAAAGTGTTATGATTATTATTATAATATTGTAAACTTGTAAGTATAATTTTGTTATTTACTTGTACAATAGAATAAGACATTTTTATATGGAAAAAAAGAACATTGTTCATAAAATCCAAATGAATTTAAAATAAATTAATTGAAAAAGAAAAACTTACTGTGGCATTAATTTAATAGCTTGTAAAATCATTTCAGCCGCTCCTAAATATTCTTTTGCGGTTTGTGGTACTTCACAAGCAGCACGATATAAACATGTGTCTCCAATTAAAAATCCTACTGCTAAAGCAACTTCTCCCTCTGATACCATATCTGAATTTTTAAAAAAATGAGAAATTTTATAATAAAATTATAATTATAATATATAGTTTCCTATATAATATAATTCAAAGAAATTATTTAAAGTTAAATTGTTTTAAAAAATCGAATTAATATTTTTTGTCCTACATGCACGATAAATGCGACTTTCCGTGCAGGTACAGCTGGCGGAAAGTAGGCTTTTGCCATCCAACCACCAATAGCGGGCGGAAAAAATTTTTGCCGCCCTCTACTCTAGAAAAGTAATTTTCTGGGTTATTTAAGACACATTTTTCAAGTTGAGTATTTTTAAATAATTAGTTCACCAAATTTTAAATATTTTTAAATAATGTTATGGTCTTTGGTTTTACTCCAGTTTACTTCCTTAGACGCAATTATCGTGCAATTGGACAAAAAAACATCGTGTGCAACACGGGCGGAAAGGTCAATTCACACTCGGTCAGGAATTGACTACTTTCCGCCCTTGCCACACACAATGTACTATTTCGATAAATTATTATTACAAAAATAAAGAAATTGAGTAGAACTTTTATAAATAATTACTAAACAAAATTATAATAAATTACTTATTTAGAATAATTTTATTAAATTACCATCTTCTAAACCACGAGCATTAAAGTTATTGAAATTATTATGTCCCCCTAAGTATCCAGCACCATAAACGACAGCTTTCAGAACTAATAAAAGTAATAAACTTGAAAGATTTAAGTTGAGTACCTAAAATGAATTTTAATTAGAATTATTATATTATCTGCGGTCCTGCGGACATAGCTGAAGCAAATTTTTTTTTTGGATACAATTTAAACTGCTGGGGAATTAAGGCCAGGTCCAAGTAAGACAGCGCCATCTACATTGAAACTAAAATTTTGGAAAATTACCAACAGCATTTTCTTGAAAACAAGAAGGTAAAATGCTTTTTTCTTTATGGATAATTGATTATTGGCAAAATATACACCAGCTAAAACTTTTTTTGAGTTAAAATAATAAAAAAAATTTCATGTCAATAAATTAAATATGAGCACTTTTTTCACAAAAACTGTAACAGTACTTTCTCAGAAATTACAATCAAAAATGCAATTTCCATTTGGAAAATTAATAAACGCTAAAAAATACACGACCTAAGATTTACCAATCACGAAAATAACAAAAAAAAATTTTATTAAATATTTAACATATTGATACTGCTTTACTGATTGTGACAGCCCTTTGGTAGATTATGTATTTCAGGTGGTTAGCAACAGCGCCAATCCCCTCCTTTCGGCAAAACTACGAAACGTCTGGTGACATATATAACCTCTGCCAAACGGCTGTCATAATGAGTAAAATATGTTATGTTAAAATACTTTTTTTTTGTTATTTTCGTGATTGGTAAATCTTAGGTCGTGTATTTTTTAGCGTTTATTAATTTTCCAAATGGAAATTGCATTTTTGATTGTAATTTCTGAGAAAGTACTGTTACAGATTTTGTGAAAAAAGTGCTCATATTTAATTTATTGACATGAAATTTTTTTTATTATTTTAACTCAAAAAAAGTTTTAGCTGGTGTATATCTTGCCAATAATCAATTATCCATAAAGGAAAAAGCATTTTACCTTCTTGTTTTCAAGAAAAGGCTGTTGAAAATTTTCCAAAATTTTAGTTTCAATGTAGATGGCGCTGCCTCACTTGGACCTGGCCTTGTTGTTTCTATATTAGGTTCAAAAGTTTGTCACAGTGGCGCTCTAGTCGTTTGAAAAGTCGGCACTCGGCGTGCTTCACATTGAAACAGTGGTCGTCATTTTGTTTATTCCCTGTAGGCTGCAATTCTCTGTAAGTTGTATGCTACTGTCATTGTGTGCGTACGTTTGTATGATTCGCGAGTTAGTGTTAGTTACATATACATATAATAGTGCACACTGTAAAAAAATGTTTTTGGAGATTGTACATTCACAATTTGTATTTGTGTTAAAATTTGTAAAATTACTATATTCAATAAAGTTATTTTACTACATTAAAAAAAGCACTTTTACCATTTTCTGTAAATTTACTACTTTCAAAGTGGGTAATAGGTGACGGATGCAACAACTAATTATGTTTCACCTATTCCCCACTTTGAAAGTAGTAAATTTACCGAAAATGGTAAAAGTGCTTTTTTTAATAATGTAGTAAAATAACCTTATTGAATATAGTAATTTTACAAATTTTAACAAATACAAATTGTGAATGTACAATCTCCAAAAAGATTTTTTACAGTGTGGTTTTCATCTGTTTGACAAGTGCGACAAGTGATTTGGAGATTTTTCAAAATTTTTTATTATTTCATTTTGAAATCAACATTTAGGGTGATAATGGTACGAAGCTGAAGTACGCAACGTTTATGATAAACGATTTTTAAAGAAATAATTTTTTAAAATAAAAAATTTTATAATTTTTTGCCTAAAAAATATTTTTTTATAATTTCTTGATTAATGAAAACTACAAGAAATATTTTTTAAGCAAAAAATTATAGAATTTTTCATTTTAAAAAATTATTTCTTTAAAAATCGTTTATCATAAGCGTTGCGTACTTCAGCTTCGTTAATGGTTTTAGTATGTGAGTGTTGTGGGAAAAAAGATGCAAAAGGTGTTTCTTTTCACAAGTGAGTACATAATATTTTAATATTATTATTATTGAAGTGTCTAATTTTTAGGTTATATTTTGTTTTTTTTACATTTTACACTATAATATTGACATAAAAAGAAATAATATATAAATTTATACAATTTATGCATAAACTTATATACCTCGTTTATTTGGCCTTAAATCAATCAACGGAGCCATTCTGCCGTGTTTTCTAAAAACTTAGGTAACTGCAGAATGAAAGATTTCGAGAAAAACGTGAAAAACTGTTTAAACTTCATTGATATGTACCGCAAAGCCTAATTAAAATTTTTAAATGCCGTTTTGTTCCTTCGATTCGTCTAAATTTATTCTTTTTAATTATGTAAAAATAAATGTTGTATTTGTTTAAACATTCAATAAATTATTAAAAATGTAGTTACCGGTATGCTGATTCGAGGGTCGTCGCACGAGAAACTTAGGTAACTGGTAGTTACTTGGTCCCTCGTGCTACGAGCGCCCGTATTAGGCCTCTCGTCGCACAGAAAACTTAGGTAACTGCAGGGAATATATAAGAATTTTCATCTTTCTGGGCAAAAAATAGTAAAAATATATTAAATAATAAACTATAATTATTTAATAAGCTGCGAAAGTTGTCACTATAATTATTGTTTTTTACAAATATTTAATTTTATGGTTAAATTTATTTTAATTATACAATATTAGAGTCAAATATTGTATTAACTCAGAATATATTAAATAATAATAATATAAAATAAAATAAAATACATAAATAAAATTAAAAAAATAAATTAAATTAAATTAAAAAATAGTAAAAATATATTAAATAATTATATGAAATAAAATAAAAATAAATAAAAAAAAATAATAAATAATAAAGTGTAATTATTTAATAAGATGCAAAAGTTATCATTATAATTATTGTTTTTTACAAATATTAAACTATATGATTGAATTTATTTTAATTATACAATATTAAAGTCAAATTATTGTAGGTAATGTAGTTCGCTGCTTTATTAACGTTTATTTAAATAATTAAAAACGATTTTAATTTTTTAAATAATTGAACTAATTTAATTATATATTAATCATGAAATAAACATATTACTGAACTTCATTTTCTTAATTTTTTAATGCTTTTATGTTATTTATTAAAATTAATACTTAATTTTTCAATAATTGATAAATTATTATTTAGGTATAATTATATATAGATATATATAAATATATATATAGTATTGAAGTTTTTTATTTCATTATTTATTGTCATTATAAATTATTAATTGCACAAAAAACATTGTAATTTTAAAGAAATGTATAAGATTTTGCAGTTACTTGGTCCTTCAAAACACGGACCTCCTTTTTCGAGGCCTCGTCGCATAGAAAACTTAGGTAACTACAGTGCTCTGATAGCACTCTGTAGTTACCTAAGTTTTCCATGCGACGAGGGCTCGAAAAATGAGGTCCGTGTTTTGAGAAACTTAGGCACTGGTGCAGTTACCTAAGTTCTTCAAATCACGACCTACAAAATACGTCACAACACCCAAAGACACCCAAGTTTTTATAGCAGTTACCTAAGTTTCTCAAATTACCACTCATCAATTTTTGCAGTTACCGGTATTTTCAATTATTTATGCAAAAATTATTATTAATAATATTAACAATTTTTAAAAATAATTTGCATTAACAGGTGTATCTTTTTTCCACGATTCCAACGATATAAAAAACTCATTTTTCGATTTTTTTGCAGTTACCTAAGTTTTTAGAAAACACGGCAGCATTCTGTTAACATGTGCCTGCAATTCTGAACGTTCAAATATACGAAATCATTTTTTTCGTCTATTATTATTAAATCAATATTATAAAAATTACTATATAACAATGAAAAATAAAAATGTACCCCAATCAGCACGAAAACTTGCAGGAAGCTTTCCGTGTAAGATTGCAGTGCAAGTTTGGTGCAAGCAACAAAATGTCCTCTTACGGCAAGGTAATTAAGCAAGTTTGCAGTAAACTTACAAAAAGCTTGCTGCAAACTTGTATAATATTAAAAAAAAATTTTAGAAATAATTTGTCAATTATTTTTAATTAAGTGTTCAACGGTCTCTGAAATTCTTTGGCAAAAAGAGACCTTTAATTATCGCCCTATAAAAACGGCACTGAACGTAAAAATGATAAACATTGATTTTAAAGTACTTTTTTCTCGAAACACGTACTACATTTTTCACAAAATCGGCTAATCTAATTAAGGATCCTTTTTTTATAAATTTTCAAAATCCGAAAGATTGTCTGAATTCATGCAAAAACCCGGTTGCAAAATGGAAAATAGGAAAGTAATATAATGACAATATCTAGGAGGTTCACTACGTCCAGTCGTCGTCAGATGGCAGAACCGTGCAGGGAGGACAATGTCACAGCTGTTATTATATTACTTTCCTATTTCCCATTTTGAAATCGCATTTTTGAATGAATTACACACAATCCGTTGGATTTTGGAAGAATTATTAGACAAGGATCCTTTGTAAGTTGGCCGATTTTGTGACAAGTGTTTGTGTTTCGAGAAAAAAGTATTGTAAAATAAATATATATAATTTTTACGTTCAGTAGCATTTTTATAGGGCGATAATTATCATTCTCTATTTGTCCTGCAATATTTATGCTATGTGCAAAGAAAATAACTGAAAATGGAGTCATTTTGTGAAATTGTCAACATGTAGTAAAATTTGTGCTTCGTTTTAAATAAATAGTTAAAAATACTTGGAAATTTACAATTGTGAGGCTCCACAAGAAAAGGCACATTAAAGGCAAAAATTTTTAGGTTATGTTTAGTGATAGTTTTAGCTTAATTAAACGTTCTTTTTTGTTTATGTAAAATCAAAATTAATTTCTATTAAATATTTTGGATCTAATAAAGATATAATCATCAGTGGTTTGTATTAAGAGATCCTCTTTGTGTGTTTTCAATTCAAAAATCACAAACATAACCTAAAATTTTTTGCCTCTAAGGTTCCTTTTCTTGTGGAGCATCACACTATATAAAATGATAAGTTTTTCACCGCTTACAAAAATCTCACAGTTTTACATGATTATCACTTAATATATTTCATACACTGAAAAAAATTTATTTGATTCAAATAATCGGTTACACTGTAAACTTGATGGTATCATTTTGGAATGCAACGTTTTGATTCGATATAAGGTATCAAATTGATCCAAATATTTGAATCATTTTCAAGAAATGATCCAGAATATGGGATCATTTTTTGTTACCTGAATTGGTATCAAAGTATAACTGTCATGGCTGGCATGCTCTTAGATTGACAAGTTTATTAATTAATTTATTCACTGCGCTGAATATATTCAGATATACATACACAATATCATAATCGACATATATGACATTTGTTAACAAACAGGGTTGGGAAACAAGAGCCCAAAATATATTCGTCCAAAGCGAATTTCAATCCTACCCAACCTTGCTTTGGACGAACATATTTTGGGCTCTTGTTTCCCAACCCTGTTTGTTTACAAATGCCATATATGTCGATTATGATATTGTGTAATAGGAAATTATTAATTGCATTAATTGACAACGCATTAGAAATATTTATCAATCGTGCTTTGCTTAAATTTTGTTCATTTATAATAAATAAATTATTGATAATTATTTGAACCATAAAAATAATTAAAAATTTTCAAGTGTTGTGATTGTGAACTTAACTCAAATCTTATGTGATAAATATAAATAAAGTTTAGTGTATTTCATTTTATTTCGAAATAAATTTTTTCTTATTTAATTGCTCGCAATTTATAAGTTTTCGCTTCTCTCTTTCTTAAAGTTCATAATAAAAGTATTTTTAATATCTGAATATATTCAGTGCAGTGGATAAATTAATTAATAAACTTGTCAATAAGAGGATGCCAGCCATGACAGTTATACTTTGATACCAATTCAGGTATCAAAAAATGATCCCATATTCTGGATCATTTCTTGAAAATGATCCAAATATTTGGATCAATTTGATACCTTATATCGAATCAAAACGTTGAATGAGTTGATCTTAATTCTTGTATCAATTTGATACACAGAAGAAAACTGTGTACTTGATTATTTTCAAATAAATATTCACTTGAACCAAATAAACAATATTTGAATTAATAATATCTGTATTTGAAACTAATACCATTTAATTGACTCAAATATTAATTATTTAATATAAATAAATATTTATTTGATAATAATCAAGCAATCGATTATTTGAAACAAATGAAATTTTTTTGAAAATACTTTATATTTGAAAAAATACTTGTACCTGGCTTGTTGACGCTGATCTTTGAACTAGTTCCTTTGCAATATCAACTAACATTGTTCCAGCTGCATTTTTTCTATCTCTTTCAATATTTATATCCCAACTACTCATTGCAAGAACGCCACTTATTATTATTGAAAAAATTACAAAATATTTTATATATATCATAGTTACAAAAGAAATTTTTTTCTTCTTTTTTTGAAGATGATTGAAACAGTGCAAATTGAAGAATAAAAGTCTTAAGGATGTGTTGTCATATTTAAGGTGACTTTGAATACAGTAAAGGGCATTCATGTGCATCAAACGGTGGATTGTTTTTTCTTTGGTTTCTCTATTGTGACGACTAACCATGTAATGACTTATATTTACAACTCTCATTGTTGTAACGTATGTGTGTATATATATATGTCGTGCACTAAAATAATTTTCTGATTTAACGGAAAAAAATGGTGAAAGTCTTGTCATTTAAATTATAACTTTTACTTCTTGTCAATTAATGTGTGCAATAATTGAAGTAAAATCAGTTTTATCGAGATTACATTGTTAAATGGAAAATTAATATTTGCTGGGTGTACGGAATTTAGATTTTTTTTGATGGGTAGTGCATTTTACGATATTATATAGCTAAATAAAATTTCAAACTGTCTAAATTTAAATAAGTAAAATTTTTTAACTAATTTAAATTAGTGACTCAATTTTTGCTTGTGAATTAGTAAAATTTAACAAATTCAAAATAAAAAAATAAGATACTAATACAAAACCATGTTATTATACATATATTATTAATATTAAATAAGTTAATAATATGTATTATTTTATATAAAAGTATATTGTGCAACAAGGGTGAAAAAACGATGGTTCCGAAAGTGAAATTCGCTGATGTGTGGTAGCAGAAATTATTATATGTATATACATTTATACTCGTTACTCTTGCTACTTATTGTGCAGAAAGTGGTGTTTTGGAGGTTATTATTATGAGGGAATGAACTTATCGATTACGAAATCAATGATCCGCTATTAGTGGGAAAAACTTTCTTCTTCGTCTATACAAGTGAGAAAGTACTTAAAAACGACCCTTGACCCTTAAATTTGCAATGCAAGCTTACCGTAATCTTACAAAAAATATTAATTATTACATTAAAAATAATTTATGCTCATAGTAGTTTTCTATGACATCTACTGCTGCACGTAAGCTTACAGCAACCTTGCCGTGCAATATTGCCAACCTTGCATGGTAAACTTGTCGTAAGCTTACTGCAAGCTTCAAATGTCCCACTTGATTCAAGCTTGCATGGTATGTTTACCGAAAGCAAAAGTTATTTGGCAACCTTGCTACAAGCTTACCGTGCAAGCTTACTGAGCAATCTTGCGATAATCTTATTGTGCAATCTTGCAGTAACCTTACACTGCAAGCTTGGGTCAGGTGGAACATTTGAAGCTTGCCGCAAGATTGCTGCAAGCTTACGTTTCTTTTTTACACGATTATTTGACTTACGTTATTATACGCAGTGCACCTGATGCTGCATCTATCGGCGTCGACGTTCAGCGTCGAAATTTTTTTTTACGGGACCAAGAATACCAAATTATTTTTAAGAAGATTTCGGGTCTACATAATACCTTGAATAGCATTTCTCAAGGTATTATTTAGACCAAAAATCTTTTTTTAAAAAATAAGTAGTCCTGTGAAAAAAAAATTTCGGCGCTGAGCGTTGATGCCAACTTCCATGAAGGTCAAGAGGTTATGTTTTCCATACTTCAACCCAGATAGCACGTAAGTCTGCGGAAAACTTACAGCAAGTTTGTCTGGAATGGCAAAATAGCCCATGCATGGCAAGCTTACCGTAAAAGCTTGCTGTAAGTTTGCCATGAAAGGTTACTAAAATCTTGACATGAAGGATTGCTACAAAATTGTGTAGGAATTATTGCTGAAACCTTACAAGAATGATTTCTGTAACCTTGACATGAAAAAAAATATTTTTGAAAAGTCACAGAAAGCTTGCTGAAATCTTCCAACCAGTTTGATTCAATCGTTCTGCAATATTTCGTAGTAAGCTGGCTTTCATGTCGAGAGGTTACAGAAATCATTCTTGTAAGTTTGCAGCAATAATTTCTTGCAATCTTGTAGCAATTCTTCATGTCAAAATTGTAGTAACCTTTCATGGCAAACTTACAGCAAGCTTTTACGGTAAGCTTGCCAAGCATGGGACAGACATTCCAGACAAGCTTGTTGCAATTTGACGCTGCAAGGTTGGCAAGCTTGCATGGCAAGCTTGCTGCAATTTTGCCACAGGCTTGCGTGCTATCTGGGAAAAGTGAGGCTTTTTATTTACACCTATTACATATAAAGTATTTTATCCCACACATGCTCGAAAAACTCGTTTTATTGTTTGTGTGAAGTGGTTGGAACTGGAAGTTTACATGTTGGTGACGTCAGAGGGGAAGTAAACTTTATCTTCCTGTCTGTCAACTTATTTTCCTCTGACCACCTAAAAACTTCCGAGTTCCAACCACTTCACACTAACAATAAAATAAGGTTTCGAGCATATATGATATAAAAAATAGTAAGCACCTCGAAAAGTCCCTTATGGGCCTTGTACAATTTTCAAAGAACTCGTCTTCGAAAATTGTGATTGGCACATAAACTCGGACTAAACTCGCTTGGTGCAGAATATACTAATATTATTTTCTGATTGAAAAATGTCATTCGAATTTTACTTAAAAAACATTTATAATATAAATTCAATTTAACTGAATTTTTATTTATCAGCATTTTCATCTAACAGAATTTATATTTTGATTTGAATTTTCGAATGGTATACAGTAAAACTTCGTTTATCCGACTTTCGATCAACCTAGTCTTTTGTGTTTTTCGAGGCACTGAGTCGTTTTATTACGGACTTTCTTTATTAGCCTTGTTAGTGACAAGTTAAACGTTATGTAACAATGCTTTGTACCCCAAAGATTAATTTACGTTCATTATATTTTCACATTTACCTACTTTTGCGAGTAAATTTCATTCTACCATTTTACATACTTAAAAAATGATTCAAATTTTCGAATTTTTTAAATTTTTTCCGTATTATTCGAGTTTTTGCTTATCTGTCGTACCATGGATAAACGAGATTTTACTGTATAAATTTTGTTAAATGAATAAATTTTTCTACAACAAAATTCAATAAACTGTAGAGAATCTGTTACATAAATGTTCGGCTTAAGAGTGTTTGAACGGTCTCTGAAATTCTTTGCAAAGAGTGAAAATACCAAGGATTCTGATCTTATAAATTTCCTTAATTTTTATTTAAATAAATAAAATAAATAAATTCGAAAGATTGTGGGAATCTATACAAAAATGCGATTGTAAAACGAAAGGTAGGAAAGTAATATATAATGAAAGGTTCATTACGTCCTGTCGCCGCCAGATGGCAGAAGCATGCAGGGAGCATAAAGTCGCAGCTATTATTATATTACTTTCCTACTTTTTGTTTTGCAATCTCGTTTTGGTATGGAATCGTACAATCTTTCGGATTTAAGAAATTTATATGATAATGATCCTTGGTTTTTTTGGTTAATTTTTAAAAAAGTGTTCGTGTTTCGAAAAAAAATATTTTAAAATCAATGTTTATCATTTTTACGTTCAGCGCCGTTTTCATAGGGCAATAATTAAAGAACTTGTTAAAGAATTTCAGAGACCGTTTAACACTTTTAAGGAGCATTTTTTTCAATCGATTTATATTTGAATAAAATGAAAAGACAGTTTTAACAAGAAGCAAATATTAAAATAAATTTTTTTTTCAAATTGATTCAAATAAACTTTTAGTAAATTAAAGAAAAGTTCTCGAAATAAATGAAAATTTCTTTAGTAAATAAAAAACTCTTTTGTTTTGTAACTTTTATGATGTTGACGTCGACGCTCAGCGCCGAAAATTATTTTTCACAGGACCGAAAATGTCAAATTATTTTTTTTTTATGATACTCGGTCCAAATAATGCCTTGAGAAATACTTTTTAAGGTATTATGTGAAACCAAAACTTTTTTAAAAATGATTTGATATTTTTGGTCCCGTGAAAAATAATTTTCGATGTTGATCGTCGACGCCAACTTCATGGAGGTGTTTTGTAGAACACTTCTTTGAATTAATATTTTTAGTTCAAGGAATAAAGTTCATAGAACTAAAAAAATGTAATTTGATCAAAAGAAAATATTTCTTTAATTCCACTGCGATTTGTAAAAATTTTATCTGAGTCAAAAAATATTTATCTGAGCCAGATAAAAAGTTACTTTAAATCAAATAAAATTTATGAAAAATTTTATATAATTTTAAATAATTACTATATATTATAATAAATTTAAAAAAAATTATATATAACTTTTCTTTCTTAACATTTAGAAATTTCTTTAAATCAAAAAAACATTTATATCGAACGATATATATGTTTTAGTCCTTTGAAAGTAAGTCATTAAGGGCATCTTTAAGGTCAATTAAAGTAATGTGGCGTAAGCGAGCGAAAAGTATTTTGCAACCATTTTCTATTTCTTTGTGCGGGAATCGCTTATTTCGCGTCCGTTTTGAGTGGAAGAAATAACATATTTTGTGTCCGCTTGTAGTTACGGTCAGTGGGTGAAAAATGCTTTTCCGCTCGCTTACGTCACATAAGCGGTCGGAAAAGTACTTTGCTCACGCATTAAATGCCCAAAATAACATACTTTCCGTTCAGGTAGAACAATAATGCTTAAAAAATAATTTTTTGCAACACTAACCTCTGAAGTTAAAAATTTTACACACCGAAAAGTGTGTGTAAAGAAGCTCTTTTTAAAACGGTGTGTAAAGTGATTTACTTTACGCACTGAAATTTACTTTACGCACCGAAATTTTTCTCACATAATATAAGGATTGTTTTAGACCATACAAAACCACAAAATTAAAAAAAGAACTTTACTTTTAAATTTATACACTACTGCCTAATGATATTTTTCCTGATCTTCGATTGATTTATTTAATTCTATACAATCGAAATTATTCTAATAGAGAGTTGGAATTCCTCATAATAGGTACTTAACTTTAGAGGTGGGTGTTGCAAAAAATGTTGTATGATACACGTGCGTAAATCTGATTATACTCGTGTGATTTGCTACAAACGTCACACTCGTATAATCACTCACTTTACGCACTTGTATCATAAATAACTATTAGTAAATCGGATACTAAAAACTATATTAAATAAATGGTGCGATGAGAAA